CTCCGACATCCTACAGGCCGTCATGAAATTCAGTGGTTTCTTCTCGTACCTGACGAGCCGGTGGTCTTTAACTTGCTTTACCGTGGTAAATACCGATTTCCTCCGGCTAGTCGCTTCGTGAGAATGGTCAGGCTAATCTATCAAGGCTCTTGTTTTGAACAGGATCACAATATATGCCTCCACTAGACGACACCTTAATCTGGATTGGACCAGGCGATTGGCTCTGCGCATCGTTCCTATTGTTCTTTTCGTCACTCAAATCTACGCACTTCTTCGGTCTATTCGATGTCAAACATCCCCAGAATACTCTACCATACGCTATGGCACGCCGGGTAAGCGCTTGCTATTCGATCATTCTGGCGGAGGGGGCTTCTTGCATGCCCTAAGCTCCACCCTTTTACCCTGGGAAACAGACGAGCAGTCTTGCAGTGCGGTGCACATGGGCCGTCCTATAAACGCATCGGACATATCATATGGCTCTTTCCGACTGCTCTGGCCAGTTTTCATCCGCCTCTGCCTCAGTCACTTTGTCGAGACCGTCTCTTGCGCTTTGCAGGGACGAGCAGTTGTCACAGAAGCTGGCATGTCTATTTTCGAACACTCGCTTGCCTTTGCAGAGGCAGAATCGATAATCAGCCAGACTCTTGGTCTTGGTATATTTGGGTTGTCAAAGCAAAGCAGTGCGAAAGATGTCGCTGGAGAAGGCGGGCAATCTACCCTGCATCTCCTGACTCGAACTCAAGCTTTGGAGCGAATGAATGTCACTCCCGAGCTATTGCTGATCGCGATGATCTCGTGTTGCAACAGTCTGACCTCAAACGTTCTAGATGTCATTGGCAGACAAAGTCGTTACCGCTTGGTGAATACTGCTTTTTGGGGCCTCTGCTTCATGTCGGCTATGGCTTGGGGCTTATTCGGAGGTTCTCCAGTTGGGAGCGACAGTGTCGTTTTGAAATTCCCGACTGTATGCATTGTAGGGTTCATTCCTCACCTTCTCATCCTGCTAGGAATCATCGCCTGTGTCTTTATATACGTGATTGCTCTGGTTATTACAGCGTTCTCGCTGCCTATGCAGACATCGGGCTCGTTGACACTTCGAGAAAGATTCTCCCTTGCACATGAGAATATGCAGGGCGCCAGCCAGATCCAGAATATCCGTATCAACTGGCATGAGGATTTCTACAGCACGCTGTTGAGGATCGGTTACACGTCTTTGACGGCTGCCAGCGAAGCAGTCTTTCTCAATGAAGGAAGGCGGGTTTCCGCACGCCGGATGACTTGGTTGGAACAGGATAGGCTGGCTGAAATAGAGTCTTATCGCAAGCAGTCATCCTGGAACCCCCGCAATGATCCTCCCGCGGATATGTGCTCTGAGAATGGGGAGTTAGACTTCGATATCACCGAGTCAACCATGGAATGGGAGAGCGGATACTCGCGCGAAAAGAAAATTGAGAAGCCAAAGCCAGGCTCCAGGCCTGTTCGCCCGCAGAATGATGCAGGTGGTGTGGGTACCTTCAGGGGCGTGGTTCGCTGTTACCATGGATTTGCGTTCTTCCGAGGCATCTTCTATCTTGTTCTGAAGTGGGTTGCTTACGGTCTTGACAAGCTTCTCTCCCGGATGGGCATAACTGCCCGGCCACAGTGGCTGAAATCCGCAGTAGGGTCACCAAAGGACTCACAGAAGAAGAGAAAGGGCAGCCGCATGGATACTCTAGACTTTTGGATTTTGACAGATGATGGAGCTTTAGAGTTACCCGACGACCATGAATTTGATGTAGAAAGAGAGATGCGAAAACGAGAAAGAAACCAGGCCGCTGGCTGGGAGGAATCCGATGAACGCCGACTCGACGACAAACTCTACGGTTGGTGGAAAGTGGGAGGCTCATGGGGCAATCAGGACCAGAGCTCTGATTACGAACCTTCTGTTGACGACTGGGAAGACACTACGAGTGTCGTGTCCATGTCGACAACGGCCGGCTCCGAGTGGGAAGGATACGAATCCGACGGTCGTCGCACTCCCACTCAAGAAGATCCCTTTCCGGGTCGTTTCTCCCGAGAAAGTACCCCAGCTCAAGAACCGCTCGTGGACATCGGCGCCTTGGCACGACTGCTGGATCCTCGCGATCAAGAAAGCAGACACGAAGCGCGCATATTGTCTGCTCACCTGGCTGCTGGCCGTGAGGGTCGGATAATGACCCGTCGGCAGTTCCAAAAACATGTCGAACGGGACCGAGCCCAAATCCTGCTTAGCTCACGATTAGCACAGCCCTCCACACATGAGTCTACTAACGGCAAACGCAAGCCTACCTCTGAGGAAGAAGCCGAGCTTCTCGAAAACCTCATTCTCTCGCGAAGAGCCGAGATGCGGTCCGCTCCAAACGCAGACGAGCAGACGTGGGAATCGGGTGCCTCGGGTCTTGGACCCAGCGGGCCACCGTGCGTCATTTGTCAGACTAACCCCCGTTCGATCATCACTTGGCCATGTCGGTGTCTCTGTATTTGCGAGGATTGCCGTGTCAGTCTCGCGATGAATAACTTTGGAAACTGTGTGACATGCCGCCAGGACGTTGCAGGTTATGTCCGGTTATGGGTCCCATAAGTCTTGTTTTTTTTTTCCGCATCGGCCTCGCGCTTGACATATCGAGGTCCTCATATAGCAACATTAGCGTAATTTGAATGCCAAGCGATAGATAGAGTGATTTAATGTACATTGTACCATGTAGGATAGTATACTGCAGTGCGGATATAGTAGTTTCCATCCACACAACATACTATATACCATTCCTTCTAAACTACATAGTACCTAACCAGTACTACCAGTAAAGACATCCAGACATCATCATCAATCAGTGTAGCCACAACAGAAACCACCCATTAAACCATCTGTCCCTAAGCCCAACACCACAAACTGCAAGGACCCAGCACATCCATCACAACACCTTAGTCTTTTAATTTCTACATTAACACACATCTGTGAACGACTCACTCACCCAACAACAAAAGCAACAAGCAAAATTCCCACTCGCATTCAATACCAGTCTCACGCTCTAACACACAAAGATGCTGCTAGCCCCAGGTTCGAAACGTGCATTCACTGGCCATCCCTCGTCACATACATACATACATGCATCGCTCGCGTAATGTATACTTCCTCACGTCAACACCGTCATCTACTATTACGGATCTTTTCGTTCTATTTCGTTCTCTCGGCGTTATCGCAGCATACTCGTATTTTCTCGGCGTGATCACAAAATACGCGCGTTCTGACAACATTTAGAAGTTCAAAGGTACGATTCTTCGCTATTGACAGAACTGAACTGAACTGAACTGAACTGAACTAAACGGCTAATCATCATCTTGAATCCAGTAAGTGATGATGTGATGGCAGTCCGTTCCGGGGGATTTCTTCTCGCTCAGTTAAGAGGAAAAGAAAAGAAAGGCAATAGAAAAGACTGATTATGAATCAATCCACAGATAAGGTTGCTGTCGTTAAGATAAAACAGTAAGACAGATTCAATCTGAGAAAATGATAATCAGAAAATCTGACAAGAAATACCAGCGCAACAATGGCGTCGTCCTCTGATCATCCTCATGACAGAGAAAATAATCACGATCATAACAAGCCCAACAGACCGGCCCTGAAGATCGACACATCCATCACCGCACGTACTCCTACTACCACCGCGCGCGCCAGCGGCGGCACTGAGGTCCCGTCTCCAGAGACGTCTTCCCCACCGCAAAGTGCCGTTAGCTCGATGTCGACTGCATCGTCCATTCTGTCTAGTTCGTCGAGGGAGTTCACATTGCAGCTCGTTCATACCAATGAGGCCGGTGGTGATCCCGACGACGATATCGTCATTCTGATGTGGCCTGTTACTCCTGTTTCGGCTCCAGCTCCTGCACCTTCTCCGGCTTCGCCAGTCAATGAGACTGCTCCCGCTGAGGACCAGGATCATGTCCAGGAGCTGGGTGACGGGGGTGTCCAGATAACTTGGTTCAACCAGGCAACTGTGGAGGATATCGTTACAGCTATGGCTGAAAGTCTGATCTCCAATGTGCCGGGCGCCGATTGTGACGAGGGTAATGTCGACCAGATGGATCAGAGTACGTTTCCTGGTAGTAGTGGGTTAGCCAGTTAGGAAACTATAAAGAAATATGCTAATGGGGTCATGAAGCACTCACTAACAGCGAGGGAGTCAACGACGACATCCACCAGGATACAGCGGTTACTGAGCCCTGCGACCCTGGCTATGACGCCGACACTTCGACTAACCTGGACGACGACGGTGACTATGAGATCGTCCATGCCTTCTGGGAAAACGTTGTCCGCGACGGCCACGATGATGCTGTCGAGCACAAGGAAGGTCATGGGCATTCCGCGTCGTCCTCCGTTCAAGAGTGACTGATTGGTGAATGAACTCGCCCTGGCAGTCAGCTACCACCTCCCCAGTCCCGATTGGGGAGTGTGGTAGCTGACTGCCAGCGAGGATCGCGTCTCGTAAAAAGTTCGCTCTTTGGCGTTTGGTTTTCTTTTCTGTTCGGTTTGGGCGTGGAGTAAAGGGAGTTCAGGATCAGAAGAAGGAAGAATTTTTAGAGACTTGCTTTATTTCTTATTGAGTTGGAGTTGGGGGTGTTGTGTTGTTCAGCAGGTCTCGGTGGGTGGTGAGGGAAAGAAGAGAGGATGACAGGAGCTCGGGGGGTCTGCTCTTTATGTATGCGGAGCTTGGAGCTAGCGTACTGTCCTTTACTGTCGTTTACGATAATAACGAGTTAATGTTGTCATCCTTGAAGGCTTCTCATGATATTGAGTGTTCCTGGGCTCGTTTTGCGGGTGAGTATGTGGTGCAGTCGCTGTGCATTCAATTGAATGTGGTTTGTAGGTGTGTTCCGGACCCGGCTGGGTCAGAGTTCTACAGTGATATCCTGCACACTCCAGCGCACTGCTGGGCTTGCTGGCTTCGAAAGTGCATATTAGGGGAAAGTGGTAGTGCAATGTGCAATATAGGCAGTAAGATGATTTCAAAATCAATTAAGGGCTTTTTCTTAGACAAGACATCAATAATATTAAGACCATGTAGAGACATGGATGGGGCTCAGTAAGAACCCATATTGGGGAGTACCCAGTGGAACAGAAGTAAGAATAACAACCGAAAAGTATCCGAGAGACGTCACCAGCAGCAAAATAGCAGAAGGAGAGACATGCTATCCACTTCTCATACTCCATGGAAGAATCCAACAGTCTGCCTTGCTACACCGTAAGTTTGACTATAGCACGCACACTGCAGCAGCAGCAATAACCATAGCCCCAGCTACACCCGCCTTTACAGTCGACGCAGAGCCAGTTGAAAGGGGGGAGGATGGAGATGCTGTGGACGATGCATGACCAGACTGACTGTGTGAGCCTGGAGTTGAAGGAGCGTGGGAGCTAGATGCCGACGCTGATGCAGATGCGGACGAGGAATGCGACACCTTGGAAGACGGTGCAGCACTGGAGGAGGATACTGTCGGAAGCGTCGCTGATGCAGCGCTTGATGAGACAGCTTCTGAATCAGTAGTGGAAGTCCTGGGCATAGACAAGGTCGTAGTCTCGAGGCCACCGCCCACTGGAGGGATAGAAATAGGATGGCCTGCGATGGAACATTGTCGGACGACTTCACTAGATACAGCTGGCAAGACATTAGTTCAGTCCATTACTCATGGTAATGAGTTGACTCCTACCAGACTGGTCGGCAACGTTGCATGCTTTTTGGACGCAGGGGGTTATGGTGGTAGGAAGATCTGGCTTCTGGCAATGACAAGCAAAATCTGTCAACTGTGAGCATCCATCGTGCTGAAATGCACTGATGAAGCAGTTTATCTAAGGGATGAGAGACGACGTCAGTCAAGAGGACTCCGTCAGCTGGGCATTGAAGCTTACAGAGCATGAAGGGATATTTGGGAGCTGTGCAGTAGCAAGGGTGCTAGCGAGCAGAACTAGAAGTGTGTGAAATAGCTGCATTGTTGCGATACTTGGCTTTCTATTACTCAAAGTTGTTGTAGCTTGCGTCGAGAAGAAGGTAAGTGTATGCCAGGGAGCAATAAACGATGGCTACCAGACAAGTAGATCAGAACAAACGCATGGGCAGAGGACCTCGCTTCTTATAAGCTTGTGCCACTGTTTCACGGAACTTTGGAACCGGTATCACATGCATATAGTGCTCCCATTGAGGCATACGCATTGCCCCCTTTTCATGTAGTAAGGACATGACATCCGGTGGGAGATGCTCCATCCATGTAGGAACCTCCGGTCGTTTGGAGTAATTGGACAAATACCATCTTCCAATGCGAACGGCCCATCAACTCAATGTCTTACAATATTGGTCGACCCCTTTCTTGACCTATGCGTTGGGTTGTTCTTGGAAAAAAAAGTGTATATAGACGGATATCACTGCCGAATGAGCAAAATGCGACGTAGGACGGGTAAAATTGCACGTAGTTTGGTGACACGCGGATTCCTGTCCAGAGCGTGTGACAGTCGCTGTTATACTACATTGAGACCTTCAAATTAGAACCGTTGTAGAACCAATGGTATCTGTCCTTAAAGTGAGACCAAATAACAGGGTGCAGACTTCATTGATCGGATTCGAAGAGGATGCAGCGACAGGCATCAGCTATGGAGCCTGGAGACAAACGGCCGCGGTCATCTGGTGCGATGGGCATGCAGGAAAAGACAACCCCTGGAAGCGTTGAGGTCCAAATATAGCAACTCTCAGCTTTGAGCGTAGATTGGCCAATGCAAGGGCTTCTTGGACGTCTCGACGGGGAGCTTGCAGTGAACGTCCCGTAGGACAGCGATAGTAGAGCCAATTGTTTGGTAGCACCGAAAGGGGCTTTATTGTTCAACCAACCGAGTAGGAAGAGCTCAAACGCAACGTCTCCCGGAGCCTAGACATCTTCGGGTCCTTTACGCGGAAGCATCCAACCCTCTTTGTGAGATACTGTGTGACCAAAGTGGTCAGGTTCAACCTCACAGTTGCTGTTCAGAGCTTGCTTGGGTGGCGTTTGGGAATCACTTATAATGTAATCACCCAGCCATGTAGTCCAAAGGCTTACTTGTTACTACGGTATTTCTGCGTAGCTCGAGTGGCGACAAGTGTTCCACAGTGTCCGCAGTAGGCTGGCGGAAAATGAAGGTTGGCAATTAAAACAAAGTAGGTCATTCAAAGTAGTAATCCAAAGGGTATGCGCAGAGTTATCCCAAACGCCTGTCCAACAAACACCCGTACTCCCAAATCTATCCCACGCTGATCCATGGGACTTAAATATATAATGCGCAGTGTCCCACCGAGCGCATGCTCAAGACATCAGCTCGTCAATATACGCCCTCTGTTTAGTATCCTCGTCTGGTTTCAACAACACTGCCAACACCTCGAGGGGAGGATTGAGGCCTAGCGTATGCGCACGTCTCCATCGCTTGAGTCGAGCAATTCCAATGCAAGGCTGGAGTGATAGAGCGTTAGTTCAAGCGAACATGTGGTGTACGAATAAAGACAGACTTACCCCGTATTGACTTGAAAGGTCGAAGTTGCGTAGTATCTTCTCTCGTAGATCGAGGCCCTCCTGGTGAACTGGTGGACATGATTAGCGTACTTGTCATAGGAGTTGCCTGACTGGGATGTGTGACTCACCTCTAGGCCCTTGTCTCTTTGCCTCTTCCTTCTTCCAGTACTGTTGCAGTTGCCTTTCGGTGATCTTCTCCGCCTTAGCATCCTCTTCTGACCGTGGTTGCTCAATCTCCGCCCGAGCCTGCTGCCTCACGGCAAGCTCTGCCACATGGGGCTGCGAAGGCTCCGTGGCAGTAACAGAAACCTGTTCTGCTTCGGATACATCGTCTACTGATGGAGTATTTGATCGAGAAGCGTCAATCAAGTCGAGATCCTTGGCTTTCTGAGAGCGTGTGGTGGGCGCTGCTGATGGCTTCGTGACTCTGGACTTGGAGCCGAACGAGAGGGTCGCCTGGTTAGAACGAGTGGCGGCAGTATTACCTCCGCGGCGACGAGTGGGAGGCATTTTTGCAAGTATAACTAGAATCGCTTATTCTATGAGAAGGTATGTAGAGAATATGCAGCAGTCTGATGAACCGAGTCCAGGCTGAAGGAAAATCCAGGACTACGTTCTGGGCCAGGCTTGGTTGAGAGTGTGGGGGAGACGATGTCATCATTGGTTTGTTGCACATGGCAACCGCCGCTACCGGATTTACTTCCACCAACCCCAATCCAGTTCTTATGGCCCCTGGAATCGCAGCAGAAGCTGTTCTTGCTTGCTAGCTTGCTTGGATGGTATGCTTGTGTATAAAATAACGTTCTTCATGGATTCCACTAGCTATATCAATTTATAGTCAGTCAGCCAGTCTACATGTCTCACGTAGTCAACCCGCCGGCTTACTGTACTATTGGCGTGATAACGAAGAAGAATATTGCGGGGTAACTAGATAAGTACTAGTAGTGGTACCTGAAATCGGTGGACGAAGCAGCCTCCCGGCCTGCAGCTGACCAAGGGCCCTTTTTCAAATTGTAAGATAGTAGTATCCACTTTCGTGGTTCGATGGGGATATCCTGTAGAAGATCACATTTAAGGTGAAACTGCGCATGCCACTAGGACGTTACAGAAATCTGCACGTTTATCTACCATGCTAGTGCATCGATAAGTTGATTTTACCTGCTTTTGTCTTGACTACCGGTTATATCGACCAACGTTCTTTGGTCACTACTAACTATTCAGTAGTAGTTATGGTGGTTGTGATTAATCATCCTTGATTGGGAAAGTGTCTACCTGCTTATCGCTAGTATGGGTCAGTCACATGGCATCATCGATAAGAAACCAGACCTGCAGGGCGGGAACCAACGAGCCAACGATTGACCGCTTTTTGCAGGGGAGCTTCAAGTGGAATCCATATCCAAGCATGGATCAGCGCCATGGAAAGATCCAGCTCTTTCTGTCTTTTAGACAGAATGCATGAATTGAACTTAGTTAACCGAGTTCACCTTAAGCAGTTTGATAAGAGTCCATACACAGTAAGGAACATGCGCAGGAGCGGTCAGCCAGGAATGCATCCAGGATGCGTTTGCTGTAACCAGGATGATTAATAGACCAGGCGGCAACCGAAGCTGTTAATTTAGTACTTAAGATGCAATCACCCCATTTATTGCAAATGACGATCAATAGTTAAATGTTCTGCCTGGTGGAGAGCTCAATAGTTTAGTTGGCACCAAGAGAACTGAAATGTGTCATTAGTTGTCTTCCGAGGACTGAGTGCCCTGCTCGTATTGATAATATGCGGATGGTCTGACAGGGGATCAGTTTAGGTGGTTTTAGTAGTTCCTCGTTATACTCCGTCCTGAGCACAGAATCGCGGCTGGCTGGCCTGACAAGGGTCGGGAAGAGGTCAAGTTCAAGTAGTTCCGTGGCTGCCGCTGGGAACTTAACCTGCTTAGCCGCCGCAGATGTTCCCCATCACCTTCTCCCCTCCCCACATCAGCGCTTGTAAACAACCCTCGATTGCTTCACCAACGTCGCACCGGCTTTCTCTCGCTTTTCCAGCATCCTTCGACACTTACCCCATTTTCCCTCCCCTTTGCCGCTTTTGAATTCCTGTCTGACGCCGCCCACACTCGAAGCGGTAATCGCCTAGCCTCGCCCAGACTGGGTCCGAACTTCCACGTTCCATAGCAACGAGAGGGGTGTACCGCAACTGCGCCCTCACAATACCTTGGGTGCAGCGCTATTAAGCGGGATTCACACACCATATTTGGCTTCTCTATGAGATTACCGCCGATATATAGCTCTTTGAGGTCGCATATACTCCGCCGAATCCCCGGGGCGCATCCCTCTCACCCGCCGCGTGCCCATGGTGGTGCGGTAGCAGTGCTCTCAGCATGGCCGCCTTCGTGCGAGTGTCGGGGCCGCCGAATGGCCATTTCCTGATCGGCTACCCCGGTATATCTGCAACAATGGTGAGGACCGACTCTTCTCTGGTCTATCTCCGATACATACAGCCCTTGCTGACCTCCAGAAGCCACGTATCGAGGGCAAGGTTGAGATCAGGCCTAGCGTCGGCATTACAGCTCCCGTCAATGTGTCCCTCGTCACCATATCTCTTCATCGCCGTGAGACAATACATCCCTCCGCCGACTCCGTGACCAAGAAGCACCTCGCGCCCCCTAGGAAAGAAATCACGGATATCGTGGGCAAGGAGATGCTCCTCTTCCGTTGCCCAGCGGGTCGAGAGTACGAGGAGGTAATATCCATGGATTTGCCCTTCGTCCTTTTCATTCCATTTGGGCGCGGAGGGCCGGACGCTTCAAGAAGAGTTCCACCCGCCAGTTTACAACTCCCTAGTCGCACCGCAGAGACATTCTATGAAATAGTGGTCATGGTTCAACAAGGTCATTCGGATCAGCGAAAATACACATTCCCGGTTCCCATCTCACGCTATGACACACTCTCCACATTTGGAATGTACAACCGACCTGAGTCGGCGGAAAGGGTGTCGGACCATCTGGTCACCTTAGGCATATCTTTGCCTCGGTGGTCTTACGGCCCCCTTGACCCTGTGAGCGTTTACGTCAAACTATCGCCCAATCTCGACTGGATAGGCAAAGCTAGGAAAGTCACGATCAACAAGATTACTATCGGTATTGATGAGGAGATTATTTACAACCATGAAGGTGACGAGCCACAACGCAAAGTGAGGACCTTGACGAAAAGAACAGAGCCCATTGGGGTGAAGCTACCCCCATCGGGCTTCTTGACGAATCTGGGTTTAGTATTTCCAGCCAAAGATCTTCGCGACTCCAAGGGTATTCTTCCCAGAAGCGATATGGCTTTTCCGGCTTATGCCGTGACGGGGTTTACGACAACGGCGAGTCTTTATAAAATCGAATATTATCTCACAGTAAAGGTTCGTCTTCCCACTGCATGTGCAGTCGTATGGCTTTGGCTAACAATCATACTACAGGCCCACTTGACTTCCGCCAGAGATATTGTCATTCGACAGCCGATAGTTGTATGTCCTCTTGATCATGCCGGTTGTAAAGAGGAAATGGATGCTATCGAACAGGCTGCCCGCGAGGCGGTCCATATCAATCCGGATAATCCCATGTTGCCGCTTCCCTCTATCGTGCGGCCCAACGATCCCAATGCTCTTCGTCATCTGGGTGTTGCTATTGTCGGCAATCAAAAGAAGCCCTTAATAGACTGAGCCACCGTTGCCAGTTCGGACTCAAATGTCCACCAATTCCAACGAAGCATGCCCAGGCTTTAGGCTGCGGGCTAATCGGGCCATTTCACAGCGCCAGCCCCAGAACAACGCCTGATACGCGCCGATAGAGCCTGATCGCGTCGTATATTTCTTTTCTGATTCGGCGTGCTTGCTGTGACGCAAGAAGCGTCATTACGTCTTACGAATGCATGGGCTACGGAGTTTTGTCGTTGCATGGTTTTCCTGGTAGCCATTTCGTTCCATTTTTTGTTGGCCGGAGCAAAACGGGGTGTTTGGGTTGCCTTTGCTTCATACGGAGGAAAAGGCTGGGGGGGAGAGGTTCCATTCTAGTTTGGTTCACGTGCTTTCCCATGCATGTTCTAGTGGTGCATGCGCAATATAATATGTAAGATCTACCTTTTCACGGCTCAATTTGGAAGCGAAAGAGAAGGAACCATTTCCAGCAGCTCAACTTGGATTCAACATGTGGCAGACAGGGCAGATAGATGGTCCCGTCCGCATAGTTCACAATATTTCTTGCTTATCACGCAAGGCCGACTATCTGGAATACTATATAGCGATGCTAATTCCTGGAACGAAATACAACGCGAGCCACAGGCCCAACGAGGTGAGGGGCTCGTATATCTTCAATCATCTACCAATACATGCCAAATCTGTAGGGTATTTGTAGAACATCGTAGCATAATACATAAAACAGCCATACAATACGCTTGCCAAGACATGGACTCTCCCCATACAAAGACTCGAGCCAAGATGTCGTCAGAATGCAAACCAATAATCAGAAGTCCAACCCCTCCATCACGTCTCATAACCCAAGTCATCTCTCCTCCCCAATCTTCAGGAATTCCATAGCAGTGCTCAACATATCGGGATCAAGCTCGCGTCGATTGCGCTCATTCATATCCTTCTCTACGCGTCTCATAAACTCCTTGAGCATCTCCACAACACACTTGTATTGTGGTGAACGAGGACCGAATGTAGTCAGTGTGTTGGAGAGATTCACGGTGATCTGAACTGCGTTAGAGGGGCAGACATGGATTATGGTTGTATGTCGGTCTAACTGGAAGAACTTACTTGGGTGAAGATCGCTTTATAGTCAGGACGAGGATCTGCCATTCTGGAGATATGGGCACAAAGGGTGCTTGCTGCTACTGGACCAACGTCAAGGAAATTTATGGTGGTGGTGTCCGCGGACCCTTTTTTGAATTTCAACCCCGCGGTTGTCGGATCTGATAAGCAGACAGGACGAGAATGTTGGGCCAGAGAGGTTTAGGCGTCAGTTGTCAACGCTGCGCACAAGAGCGGTCTATGGGTGTGTGACAGGGGCAGAATTGCTTGGTTCTGAGTGTTGTGAATATGTTTGTCTTGATTGGGTTACTATCTAGTAGGGTGGTGAATTTCTCCCAGAATGTGCAATAATGTACTTCAGAGATATATCGCACTGACTACGGATAAAAGTCAGTACGATGACGGCATCGAACTATACAAAAATATGTACTATAGATACACTGAAAGTGAAGGCAATGATGATATGTAATTATTACAGAAAAGCATCCTGATGCGCTCCGTCTGGTTCTGATCATCGATGTCCATTGTTCGGTGTTAAACCATCAACCGATAAGAAGCTGCCTAAGAAGTTCCCCGCAGACGTAATAAGAAAGCAAATTATTTGGACGCTCCAATTGTGTCACCAGAACTGGTTGGAAATGCAAGTTGGAAGGCAGACCGCAGGCTAAGCCCGAAACTAAACCCCGTGCATTCAGATTTTCTTATCGGAAGTGGATATCGATCCGCCCGCGCAGCTTAACTTTCTTTCCACTCTCGCTTTCCCCTCACGCGCTCGACATCCCCGACCGACACTACATGCTCTCTGGATTGGGTCATTGTCGGCTGGAATCAAAATGGCTGACATAGATGAAGCCGTCATCCATATGCCCTCGCAGGATGCGAGCGCTCACATTGACACCGACCTCTCCGACGAGACTCAGGACTTCCGCATGCTGAATAGCATTTCCTTGTCAGTGCTACCACGCGTCTATCTGCACCCAGCCCCAATTACAGCTTAATGCGCAAATGGCATACTGACAATGGAGAAAACAGCCTCACTGATGGTTCCCAACAAAGTCTCCCCAAACGTGGTGAAAAGGACTTCGAACCGAACCCCACGCTCTTCCAAGCCGACATTCTCTCCGCCTCGCGGCAGGCGATGCACAATGCCCTTTCGTACCCTCGTCTACACCACCCAAAAACACAAGTTGTTGGAATATACTCTCCCAATGGACCGATCCCGCTGCGATCTGCCCAAAAGCTGGATACCATCACGGAAGAATCGGAGCCCTCGAAACCTGCAGGCACGGATATAGGCGTCCATCCCGACTCGTGTGTCTATGTTCCCGCCCCGAAAGGGCAGTACTTCAAGTCGATAGGTCAGGCTGATCGTTGGAACCGCGTATGGCTACTTCCGGAGGAGGCTCTGTATCTACTCGAGAGAGGGACCTTAGATATCAGGTGGCCTTGCTCGGAGGTCGGCTGTGCTGACGATGAGGGGACGGACGACTCTGGTATCCCGATGAGCTTACAGGCTGCTTATGCGGCGTTCATGGGGCGGAGTGGTCTGACCAGTGAGAGGTACTCGGTTTATACGGGATTGAGGCGGTTGGGGTATACGATCATTCGTGCCCCGGGGTGGCACGATGCAGTGGAGGGCGCGGAGAGCAGCGAATCACAGCAAATAGCACTGGAGAAGCCTCATGGTTTGGGTCTTGGGATTGCTGGGGTGTTTAGGCAGCTTTTGCCGTGGCTGTACAAACCTGGTAGCGCTACAACTGCGTTGGGGCCGGTTGTGGGTCTTGGGATTCATCGCAGTTATGGTACGTCTTTTACTCTCCACTGCGCTTGCGGTTATACTGACGATCTTCCAGATGACATATATCAGAAACTCTCTATCATCCCCTGGTATGACCCGACTGCTTCGCCATCTCCCCCACCTCCTACGACACCGCCCTACCGTGTAGTCTTTCATATCTACAAACCATCCACACCCTTCAAGAAATCCGCCCCTCCGGCCCCCGACTTTAGGCTCGCCGTTGTGAATGCGCGCACGCACACCACGATCCCGACATCAGCTCAGCTTGGCGCATTGCTCGAGAGCACACCGCTCGACCCACCAGTGGGCGAGAAGATGAGTCGCCAGCTGTACCAGCGACTCCGGTACGGATACAGGAACATGATCCTGGCTGTAGTCGACGAGGGCGTCGTGAGTTATCTCCGAATTGCAGACTCGGCATTTGGCAAGGAAAAGCTTTACAAGCAGCAGAACACGAAAGGAAACAAAGGACCCTGGCGTCCACGCCCCAAAGGACGCTGAGGGCTATCAAAGTCCATTATGCAGCTCATGCTAATTACATTCCCTGAAGGGCTAAGAGCATTTCTCCCCTGGAATAAGGCCCGAGATCCACCAGGACGGACACGGACTGAATAGAGGGGATGGTAACAATCTGCCATCATCTTTAGTACACCCGTCCACAGAGTGAAAGGACGGATATAGATGCTCCGATGGCGAGCCAGTGGCGCTAATAGCCCACTGACCAAGTGAGATGAAATGTGCAGTGGAAGGAGTCCCTAAAAGGGACAAGAGACAGCGAGATATCCATCTATTTTTCCAAGTTATATACCCAGATCATAACGCCACCTTACCATCAGTGAAGAAGCCGAAACCACAACCACCAAACTCCATATGATATACAATAGAGACATAGAGCCATCATGTCGCGTTATTCGTAAAAACCCAAGCCATCCCACTGCAACAAACCTAGTACCACAATCAGTACAAATCCCGCACCAACCAACCCAACGTAAACTCAATTCACTTACCTACACGGACCAAATCAAACCAAATCACACCTCAAATCAAGCATCCAAATAATCCGCCGCCATCAACAACTCCAAACACAACTCCGGCGGAATATCCATATCCGGAACGTACGTCTGGTTCTTATTCTTCTCATTGTAGCAGAAATACTCGCATACTTTCTCTAGCACGATGCCGCTGATATTCTCGAGGACGCATCGACCGGTAACAGATTCTGAGAAACGACCTATAAGAAAAAAAACCAACCAGTTAGCCAATGCCACCACTCATGTGAAAATGAAGAGAAAGAAAAGAAAACTCACTAGACGGCTCTAACATGCGACGTATCGTCCCGGACACACAGGCTGTGCTGCGGGGGATGACGAATTCGAATCCATCGCCGGACACCAGAGTCACGTATTCGGACTGTGACGAGGAGGAGGAGGGATCTGAGGCTGACATGGTGTGAGGGGGAGTGGGTGGCGGGGATGTACCAATAAATAAGTAAGTAGTAGATGGAGCAAACGAGAGAGATGGAATTGGATGGAAATATGGCAAAGGTACGAGACGCGCGGGCGATAAGTGAGTAATAATCATCGGCCTTGGTTCCGCGATTTAATTTAGGCTGCGATTACTTGATAGGCTCCAGGTTCGGGGTGGTCCGTGCTTAAGCTCCGATGCCGATGCTGTCACTTTTTTGATTGTCTAGTCTATCATTATGTTGATGTCTGTTGTGGAGAAAGTTATACGCAATTAGTTGCAGGTTTGTGTGGAAAGGGTTTTGTTAAGTAGGGAGTAGTAAGTTATGCATTACTCTTAAACATCACATTGACTAATCAGTTGTAGTATTCTTTCACTCTGTGCACAACTACCGAAGGAGCCCGGTATTTCTTAAGACTATACACTTCTTCCGCTCCTAGTCACAGATGCTATAAGTCAACTATCATCATACCATGTACCAAAGGAACATCCTACGCCTTCGTGGCGTAGCCCTCAGGCTTCAAGCCTACTCCCCAAACCCTCCTCACCATAACCTCCCACACCTCCCCCTCTCCACTCAACGAGCATACTCCCAATTCACCCCCTCCAACCGCCTCTCCAACCGAACATGCATGATAACCGGTGGAACATCCGGCATCGGATTCGCCATCGCGGAGCGCTTCCTCCAAGAAGGTGCCTCGCGAGTGATCCTCGTCGGACGGTCCTACGAACGACTCTACAACGCCGCATCTCGCCTTCAAATCGACAACTCACCAGCCATCCCCTCCACGGAACCTCCCCAAACCATCACAAACCCAGAGAAACACCAGCTCCTCGAATCCTCGCCCAGAATCAGCCTCCTAATCGGCGACATCGCCGAAGCAGGGTCCTGGACACGCGAGCTCGAGAAAGCAATGGTACGTACATCCCTCTAATCCGTCCATGCCAGTGGTGCTAGAGAACATCCTCCCAAATAACACCACAAACGAGCACCATAGCAAGCAACAAACCCCGACATCCTCGTCAACGCCGCCGGCCTCTCCATCTCCTCCATCCTCCCTAAATCCGAACCAACGGACATCTCCCGTATCCTGCGCACCAACCTCGAAGGAGCCCTTCTCACCTCTCGAGCCTTCATCCGCGCCTCGATCCGCAATCGAATGAAGAAGTCTACCACAACCACCTCCACCCCCACAAGTACTAGCGCAAGTCCCGCATCATCCAAATGCATAATCAACATCTCCTCCCTCCTAGCCCACAAATCCGGAACCGGCGCGGTCCCCTACGCCGCATCAAAAGCCGGAGTCCTGGGTCTAACGCGCTCAGTCGCCGTTGAAGCTGCCGCTTCGCTGCGTGATGTGGTGGTTAGATCGAATGCGATTGTGCCGGGGTATATTGAGACGCCGATGATTTCTGGTATGTCTCTTCCTCCTTCATATTGATCCTTCAATTGTTATGTTATGTAGTATGAGGATGGATGGATTACTGATGCAAGCTTGATGGCGAGGAATAAAGATTTCTCGGATGGCGAAACAGCCCGGTTAAAGGAGAGTATCCCCGTGCGACGATTCGGGAGACCGGAGGAGGTTGCGGATGCGGCGGTGTTTTTGGCGCAGAATGAGTATGCGAATAATTGTGTGTTGAATTTGGATGGGGGGTTGAGTGCTATTTAGTGACGTATATTATCTATATCTTATGGTTAACTAGACTGTATTATGTGTACAATATGTGAGGATGTGGTGACTTATAACTAATAGGAGCATCTTCTCGATCAAAATGAGCTTAATCTATCCAACACTCCACAGAAAACAACATAGCTAGGAATCATCCATTCTATCAAAATCGATCATGCGGGGTTTGTGTATGCAAAGTAGCGTGATAAAGTATTTTACAAGAGAATAATAAACAGGAATAACACAAAAGCAGCAAAACCCAGATCAATCATTCATGCGCCAGATCTGCAAAGCCAAGAGAGCAACCAGTAAATATCACTATGTTGGTCGAAGATGCCGAACCCCGGTTAACTACCCACCTTGGTATCATTTTAATCATCATCAATCAGGATTGCGCCGCCATTTGCCTCGTCCAAGACGATAGGATTGGCTCCGTCACCATCCGAGATGGACATGGCTGCCACTCGCTTGGCTGGATTGTCGCCGTTACTGAGCCCGGCTTCGTCTGCGTCGCGCTTGCGCTTGCCTGCGCCGTTGACGGGCTCGAGCTCGGGCTCAGGGGCTGCAGGTGCGGGTGCTTTCGGCTTGCGGGGGATGTCGGGAACAGATTCCAGGGAGGCGGGTTTCTGGTCTTCTGTGGATTGAGAGGCCTCGGTCGCCAGCACAATGAGTTCAAGGTTGACGCGGGGCTGGTCGTCCTCTTCGTCGATGACGGTGATGAAACTCTCGTTTTTGACGCCGAGGTCGGTCAATTTCTTGGGAAGGTTGTCCTCTAGATCGGGGTCGTAGATGGTTCCTAGCTCGGTGTTGATGGAGAACTCTTCACCGTAACCCAGCTGCGACCGCAGGATGTCCTGGACCAGGTTTTCCAGTGTCGCGCGCTGAGGATCGATCTTCAGCCTGGCGTGAGTCACGGAACACACTGGACAATTGGGGTTTGGAGGCTGCAAAGAATCGGAGTTGATCGCACGAACACCGCTGCGTTCGAGGAAGACCATCTTGGCCTGGTCGTACTCCCCTCTTAGAACCTTGTAAGCCTGCAAGACACAGAGACCAGCCGTCATGGCGTTGGTGGTTGCAATAGCTGGGATGATGTTGCCAGCCATCTGTTTCGTGTCGAACTTGGACTTGGGATCGATCTTGAAGATGCTTGCCCGCAAATTGGCAGTGGCGGCGACGAAGTCCAGGGTGTCGACGTCGTCCTTGTCGAAGACTAGTATAGGCTTCACGTCACTCTTCGTGGTGTCCTGCAGGGTCTTGAGCCGCTTGCTCAATCGATCTAGACTGTCCTTGAAGACGACAAAGTCCTCAGCAAGAGTCCAGACTTTCTGGTCATTGCAGGAGACCACAGGTTCGATGCCCGAAGACTCCTCTTGTAGCTTGTGGAAATCCAGAGGCTCTGGAGGATCTCGCGTCTTCCACATGTCTTCCATGCCTCGTAACCGATCTATGTCCTCCTGAAACACTTTTTCGAAGACTTTCTGCGCAAATTCATCGGAGCCCATGGATTGACGGATCTCCTTGAGGGCCTGAGCCTCCCTGCGGAGGTTCTCGATCTCTTCGGCTAGTACGAATTAGCCAGTGTCCAATAACGTCGCCAGTCCGGCTCACAGTTTTCAGCGTCTTCCGAGTGATCAAATTCGCTCGAGTCATCCTCGCTTATGCCGAAGAGCTCACTGTGTACATTAGCAATGATGCATGAGGTTGCCGCCTGATGACTTACGGAAAAAGGTAGCTCTTAGCCCAGACGATACAGTGGATCGGCTGACTGGGTGTACTGCGGATAGTGCAGACCGGGAACGACTTGGGGACCTCCTTGGAGTTACAATCGTAGCATTCCGTGACGCCCTAGCAGTTGTCAGCGGTCGCGCCTAACCAGGTCGTAGAGACACAGAAGGTAGGGACTTGACGGCGCACCTTCTTGATGACCTGGACCTGGCCGTTGAACCCCGTTGTTCCACTCTCCACTAGCGGCACATTGGCTGCCAAGCACATCCTATTCACATGGCGTCGAGCATCGAGGTTGTCCAAAGCGTTGAAGACGACATCAAATGTCGCAAACCAGTCAACGTTGAACTGGTCATCCTTGATGTTCGCATGGTATGCTTCAAGCTTCGCACCGGGCTGGAACTTGTGGGCGACTTCCTTCGCAACCTAGATATAGCGCCACCAACCGTCAGGATCTCGTTCGGAAGGATGGAAAGGACGGAAATGGGAGGGGATGTAGGTAGTAAGACGTTCGAGGAGTTTGACGCACCAATGCTTTGGGTTTCTTGATGTGTTCGAAGCGGAAAAGGAATTGGCGGTTGAGATTGCTCAGATCGATGGTGTCGAGGTCGATGATATGGATTTCGCCGAAGCCGGAGAGCAGGAGGTTCTTCAGCAATTCGCATCCGATGCCACCAGCACCCACCAGAAGCACACGCGACTAGAAAGCGAATCAAGGGAAATGATTAGCATGGTTATGCGCCAGCTGAGCTTCTTGCTCAAAGTGAAGCGTCAAGGAGAATAAGCGTGGGGGGGATGGGGAGCGGTACCTCTTTGATTCGTCTGGCTAGAGTCCCGAGCGAGCGCTTAAGATAAGTCTCCCGCGTCATGGTTGCGGCGCGGAGACGGACAGTAGATCGAAACGGAGACTATCGAAGTCAGAGCGGGCGAAAAGGCATCGCCGAACAAAGGAGCTGGTTGCAAGGCGCGAATTGAGGGAATGGAGGTAGGCAGGAGACAATGAGAGGCAGAAGTGAAAGTAGGAAGAAGCTCCGGCGGAGAGGAAGAAGTCCGGAAGCAGTCGAGGAAGGTGAAGTCAGGAAGAATGAAGTAACAATCCCGAGCCCACTTCAACTTCCCCCGAACTGCAGTACTTCTTTTCCCTTCAACCCCATCATCACCACAGGGTGGGGGGATCCCAGGTGAATCAAATCCATACCCAGCAACAAACCCGATGTTTGACTGCAGGCTGATGCAAAATTAAAAATACAAAAAATAAAAAGGAAAGTTCTAACCCTTCCAGCTGCCCGTCACAATTGTCTTGTCCGATGCAACCAAAGCGGATCGGCCAGTCTTGATGGCGATCGTCCCGCATTTGATCGCATTTCCCTGTTTGTCGTACCAACACGAGGCCATTGGAACTATCAGTCCGTCCATTTACTTTATGCTGCGTGCTTGAATAGTGTCCTTGTCAGATGTTGCTATCAGGTACTTTACGCCTACTTGCCGCTCAAATGTCGCCAACCCTCAACTGCGACTGATGCATCTCACGGGCCCAGCATGTGAGAGCTCACATTCCTACCTTTTACTCCTCCACGATGGTTGGGCGACTCCTGCACGGTATAGAGCTAGCAGGGGGGTCTCATGCCGGAACTGAGTACCCAGCGCCAAAAATCAGAGGTTGACAATGTACTTTGCATGTTCTGGATCTTTCATAGTGGGGTCTGTACTTGATGGATGTCGGGCTTTTCTACGAAGTGTCTCTAGGCCGTGAAATTTATCGATTCCATCCAGGTCTTACTGTATGGCCAGGCCATGAGGCTGACAGACTGGCAGAGCTCGAAGACGTGCAGTCCTACAGATAGCTCAATTTCCGCCTCAGAATGTCGCGCACACGTCTACTCTGTTGTTGTACAATCGTACAATCTGGGTAGTAGCATGTCGATTAATATAGAACACCAGGCCAAGATCCATAACGAACTTTAACACAGTATACTACCAGTAGTTGCTGTCTACAAAGTATAAGCATTGACGACGGGCTTTTTCATTAGCGGAACAAGGTCAGCGTCTAAATGGAGTCAAGGATAAGGAAAAGGAACAGTGGCTGGCTTTGCTGTGTAACAACCCACCAGGCCAGCATGCTTCCATGTATCCGACAGGCTGTTGCTACGGAATGTGTGTATCCTAGCTTCAACCGCAAGTCTTATCCAAGGAAAATTGGTAGTCAAAAGCCAAGACTACAAAACTTAACTAAGTTATCGCATTGATTAATTGACTGTCACCCAAAGTCTTTAAAAAGTGGCACCCGCAAAGGAGATAAGATGCCCTTGCTTACATAACCAGCACTTATCGGATGGAAATTCCCGATAAAAGAATGGAGGGACATGAAAGAACCAAAAAGCAGGTCTTCCTTCATTGACAGCGTCGATTGATTAGGACACCGCTCCCTAGATGACATTGGAGTATTCCCTCCGTAGATAAATTACTCTGGTAGTGCGTGAATTTCCGCTGGGAGATTCGCCTTGGAGCCTGCCTTTGGCCCGATCGCCCTTTCTGGCAACAACCGTCTTTGGTCCAAAGACAGTCAGTCGGTCGTGGGGATTTCCCATTTTCAATCCGTTTCCCTCTTTCCCTCCATCTCCCTCCCCTCTCCTCGTTATTGCCTCTGCCGTGAGCCCGGTGTTCGCTGCTCCTCCATCTTCTCCTCGCCAATTTTGCTCTACACTTCGTTCGGCACCCTAACCGAGCAAAAAAGTGTCATCGGGCAAGACCTGTCCTGTCCCCTGGAGCAATGTCGGACGACGAAGCAGACCCCGAGTTGATTGCGCTTCTGCGCAAGACACTGGGACTGGGAGGCTCTTCCGATCCTCGAACCGCAGAGACCAAAGTGCTGGAAAATGCGCAATACGCCTTCGATAATGCTATCGACGTCGCATTGAACCCCACCAAGACAAAAGAAGCCGCGGAGACGATATGGAACTTGATGCAGAAGAAAGAATACTCGACGCAAACATGGTCGGAGCACGAATTACACCCTAAAGCGAAAGACGAAAACACCGTCGACTTCATTTTCACCATGGATCTCCTCAACTTCAGTTTCTGGTCGGAGCTCCCTAGCGAGAAGCGCTTCGCGATTGAGTACCGAGGAAGGAAGTGGACAGGCTACTGGAGCTTGGTCGCTGCCTTGCAGAGAGCGTTGGATGAGGGTAGGTCTTTTTGCCGCATGCTAAGCAAGAGACGCAAAAGTCTGACTGTTAATAGACATTCCGATCACCACGCCGGAGTTTTGGACCAAGGAAGATGAATGTACTGAGGAACTTATCAAGCATGTCTTCCGCTCTGCCACCGATGAAGAGATTCCTTTGCTCCAGGAACGTCTTCAGTGCCTGCGAGAGGCAGGTCGAGTTCTCTGCAGAGTATGTTCTTTATCGCCATTTACTTCCTCTGCGCCGGATGCTAATAAATCCCCCATCTGCAGGAGTATGAAGGTAGTTTCGTCAACTGCATCTACAACTCCAACTACTCTGCGGCTTCGCTAGTCAATTTGCTAGCAGAGAGCTTCTCCTGCTTCCGGGACGAGACAACCTTCCACGGGCGGAGAGTGCGAATCTACAAGCGGGCTCAGATCTTGGTTGCGGATCTTTGGGCTTGCTTCAATGGTGAGGGGTATGGAGAGTTTAACGATATTGATAAAATCACCATGTTTGCAGGTAAATCTCTTGGCTTCCTTCCTGCACACCTTGCCTGAACTCTGGCTCATATTTTACAGACTATCGAATCCCTCAGATGCTCCACCAACTCGGCTGTATGTCGTACTCGCCGCCCTTGGAAAGCCACATACGCAGGTTGCAGCCGATTCCTAGCGGGTCCAACTGGGAGATTGAGCTTCGAGCAACCAGCATCTGGTGTGTCGAATTGATAAGAAGGGAAATCGAACGCCGGCACCCAGAAACCAGGGTGAACCCGACGGTGAAGCCCAACCAAGATAAGGAAGCAGAAGAAGACGAAGACGCCGAAGATCACCAGCAGAAATGCTCAACCCAGAAATTTGTCAAGAAGGAGCCCGTCCAAAAACCCGCTGGAATGGGCGTGAACGCTATCTTGATAGATTTCTTCCTCTACGACACCATGAAAGAAATCGAGAAGACCGGACAGGAGTCCATCCCGCATCATCGGACAAGGAGTATATGGTATTAGACTGGCGGCAAAGCATATCATCTGCGTTTGTTTTTGTCTCTATCGGCTTTTCCAACACTATACCCCGTTGCTTTACTTGGCCACGCATTTCGTTTAAGGGTTGCTTTTCGGGTGGGTGATGGGTATAGACTTGCATACATTGTGATAATGATACCATAGCATTGCTTTTCAACTTTTACCCTATTTGTGGGATTCTGTACACCATTTCTAATCATTCATTACAATCCACTGACCCGAACAAACTACAAGGTTGTTCTACACCATAGAAACCGTCATCTCACTTCAAGGGTATCTCATCTGTATTAATGTATAATATTCCAAATACTATCAAGCAGCCTGAGCCGTCCTCTCCATCTGCTCAATCCGCGCCACCATATCCGCCTTCCACTCGAGATAATCCTCCCTGCGATCCTCACTCAACCAATCCACCCGATCCTGCATCATAGTCCCCAACCCCGGAAGCAGTCCCCGTCTGGAAGACTTGCCCGCAACCAAAGCCCCCCTCCCAGAGACCATCAACCTACCCCTACCCACATCCTCCTCGACAACCCCACCCACCAGCTCATCCCCCAAAGCGCCCGCATCGCCATCCAACTCCCCAGCCAACGGCACATTCTCAAACCACTCCTTCCCATGAGCCCACCCCTGCTCCATAACCAACGCAATCCACTGATCCACATCCTCCCGATGCCGCCTCTCCGTCGACGGAAGGCCCAGACTAACCAGCGCGGTCTGTCGCATCTCCGAGAACGTCTTCTTATCCATCTTCTTCGCCTCCGCTGCCTCCGTGGCACTATCATCGCCCGTTGAACCCGGTTGTCGGCGACGAGCAAGCACCAGGAAATACACAGCAACAATCAAGGCGTTGATGATTTCCTTGAAATCCTCATCGTTCTCTTTATCCTTGGCTAGGATAACTGGTTCGAGGAACTCCATCATCTCCTCGTCGATCTCTTCGTCGTGTTTCGCCGTCGCTTCGGATATCAAGTACAGGATTGTAGATACACCGGCGAAGATGTGAGGCGGGAGAGTTCTCGAGATAGGTGGTCGAGACCATGTGCTCATGCGCGGTGCGGGTGTTGAAAGCGTCTTGCAAACTGTTCGGATGGAAGTCATCACCCAGGTAGGGGCGTCGGGGATGATGGTTGAGCCGGAGAGGCCATTTGCGCGGAACTTGGGGATTTTCTGGGGTCGGGGGGATGGGGAGGGTCTGTCGGCGTCGGTGTGTGAGAGTGCGCGCTTGAGAGGGGTGGATTTCGTGGGCGTGTTCTGTTGGTGTTGTTGTTGTTGTTGTATCCCTCGCGGAGTAGCAGTGGCGGTGGTCTTTGATGGGGTCCTCTGCGTGCCCTTTCTTGGTGTTGAGGGTGCTGATCCGGCGCGAGAGGGTGTCCCTAGGGCTGATGCACTTGCGCGGGCATTTCCGGTGGAGAGGGATCTGTCAAGGAAGGCGTAGAGCTTTTTGTAGGCGCGAGGGGGGCATGGAGGGTGGCCGAGGAGAGGGGGAAGTTTGAGGGTGCGGGTTAATCTATTATCGTAGGGATAGTCAGACTCAATGCATATAGAAGATTGGGGTATGAGAATGATAGATTGCACACCTCTTGCAAGCGATTTCAGCGCACGCATACGGCCGGGCGATCTCTTCTTCAGGCTTGAGACTGCTGGAGAAGCTGCGCGATTGGGCGACGAGTGATATGGCGAGACTGAGTAGTTCTTGTGGGAGGTCTTGCGCGTGTGTAGGCAGTAGCGTGGCCAGCGCTTGTTCGACAGGCCTGTTGTTCATGGTGGTGGATTAGATGCGGTTGACGATGGTTTGGTCGGAGGAAATTGGGTGTATGTAATCGCAATATCAAACAGATGGTGTATGCTGAGAAATACTCATAAACCGTATACACCAAACCAATTGTAGAGGAACTTGTGAAGTTGATGTAGGAATGAGATGTGGTTCTGCTGGATGGAATATCACGACCGTCATGTGATCTGCAGATAAATGCGCTCCGCATCGATGATCGCCGCAGCTTCTCCGTCGTTCATTGCGCCCATATATCCCACCCTACTTCCATTCGACTATCAGCAGATAGCACAGACTCACACATCATGTCTGTAACAGTGAGTGCATCCCCGTCATTACAACACCATAAAACCAAGCGAACACTACTAATCACGCCAACTCCACTCCAGCTCCATACCACCCACGGCGACCTCAAAGTCGAGCTCTTCTGCGAAGCAGTCCCCAAAACAGCAGAGGTACAGACTTCCCTCCCTCCCTCGCGCACCTCACTCCACATTCCCCCAATGAATCAAATTAACCACCACACAGAACTTCATCGCCCTCTGCGCCAGCGGCGCATACAACAACACGCCCTTCCACCGCCTCATCCCGGGCTTCATGATCCAAGGCGGCGACATCTCGCTCAACCCGTCCCTCACCTCCTCCTCCTCCTCAGCCAACTCTAAACCCCCTCTCCCCTTCGAAGACATCCCCAAAGGCGGCACCTCAATCCACCACCCGCAAGCCCTAAACCAAGAGATCCACCTCCCAGCACTAAAGCACAACACGCGGGGTATCCTCTCAATGGCATCCCGCCCCGTGAAGGACCGCACCGCACCGGGATCGCAGGGCGCCACGGGGGCAACTATAAACGGAAGCCAGTTCTTCGTGACGTTTGCGCCGGCGCCGCATTTGGATGGCGCGAGTACGGTATTTGGGAAGGTGTTGAATCTGACGGCGCAGGATGAGGGCGGGGATGTGTTGGGGAGGTTGGAGAAGGCGAATGTTAAGGTTGATAAGAAGGGGAGGGTGGTGCAGCCGAAGGAGGGAGAGGAGGGGGGTTTTGAGGCGTTGAAGATTGAGAGGGTTACGATTCATGCGAATCCGTTTGCGAAGTGAGGTGGGGGGGTATTTGTGGTTGGTTGACATGTTTTGAAGGGTTGGTTGGCGTGGTCATGGTCATGGCCATGCTTTATGTCAATTGTGAGATGTGAAGACGCCATGCTTGATGCGAACTGGAAACTATATGCGGCATCAGGTGTCGCTCTTGCAATGGCTCAGCTCGCCTCACTACTTAAGGCTACCAGCGTCGCTCAGTACCTCATACAATGTCCGTGGTGGACTGAGGTTTGAGCTGATAGAGATGCTGGGTCGAATCAGATACAGAGCGAGAACCTGATTGGGATCGCCAATCTACTATATTATAATGATAAATGAAACAGAAAGACGTTCATCTATACATGGTTCGTATATGATATCTCTTAAAAGCACACATCATCAATGAACTTTTTTCACAACCCATGGATATCACCCCCATACTATGAGTAACAAAAAGTGGAACACCCCGCAACCACACCATATGACAATGCCAACATGCACCGGATATCTAGAAACAAAACAAAAGAAGAAAACAAGGCCAAACGTAAAACGTCATCGCAATGCATATATACGAAGGGGCCAAGTATGTGAAGTTCATGCACATCGTAACAGAGACAAGACCAAGGTCGTCAAGGAGGAACAAAAGCAGAGTCTAAGGGTATAACGGAGTGAATGCATCACTGCTGCTCTTCGGCAGGCTTGTTCTCCGCATCCTGCTCGTATCCCTCTGTCTTCATGTCCTTCAGACCGAGCTCCTCTTCTTCCTCATCAGTGCGGGTGTACTCCTCCGTCTTGATCTGGGGATCAGCGGCGGGAGCACACAGGTCTTGGACGTAGCTGTTGGCCATGGGGTCCTCGAGGGTGATGACGAACTTCAACTCGCCGCTAATAGCAGCGTCGAGACGCTTGAAGAAGCGCTCCCACTTCTCCTTGTCGGAGGAGGCCATGCTGTCTCCGCCAGAGCCGGTGGTGTCGTCGATGTCGTAGATCTGGCCGCGCAGTTGGTCGCGGATCTCGGTGAGAAGACCCTCGACGGTGGTGAAACGACCACCCAAGGTACCGGGCTGGACGGTAACCTCGAGCTGCTCACTGTAGAGCGCACAGGTGTCGGACTTAAGGATATCACGGGCAAGATCGGTCTCGTTCTCGACACTGAGGGTGATACGCTTGCCCTTCTCGGGGACCTCGCCACCAGTCTTGACTTCACTGGTGCGGTATCCGCAGTGTTCACAGGAGGTGCCCCAGACGTACACCTCCTTGAAGTAGGGGATGTCCAGTTTCTTGAAGTTGGTAAAGCACTCCTTGCTGCAGCCAGGGCATTCGGAAGGCAGGCTATAAACCTTTCCTGCGATAATATCGTCCTCCTCGGCTTCGGCGGCACCTTCATGCTGCACAGCGTTGGGGTCGGCAGCGATACCAAGCTGTTCATTCTGCTCGTGGGTACGAGGATAGTCGCGGCGCTTGTACTTCTTGACGTCATCGGCGGTGGTGGGAGCAATCCAAGAGTTACCGGTAGGGTCGTCGAGAGAGACAGTGAAGGGGTAACCCTCGCGGTCGAGCATGCTCTTGAGCCTATCAATGATGGGCACGAGGGCATCGTGGAGTTCAGGGGCCTGTTCCTTGCGAAGAGGCTGCTCGCTGGAAAGAGACTCGTAAATATTCTGGATAACACCCTCGACGGTGGTCATCTGGCCGTCGGTCTTGGGCATCTCGATACCCAAAGTCTCGAGCTTGAAGATCGAGGTATCACTGCGAATGACCTGGCGCTGCATGTCGGTCTCGTTCTCAACTTCGAGGGTGTACTTGGCGCCCTTCTCCTGGATCTGACCGGCAGACTTGACGGAGTTGTTCTTGAAGTGGCAGTGCTCGCATTCGAACGATTCGAGGATAATGTCACGGAAGAAGGGCACACGAAGGAGCAGGAGTCTGGTGGTACCCTGTTCGCAAAGTTAGACTCGTCATCCGCAACAAGAAACATGATGTATTTAGGAACCACTAAGGAAATACCTACATTCTCGTGGCAGTTGGTGCAAAGACTCTCCAAGCTCATAACACCAGTGTCATCATTGCGCTCCACCAGATCACCGGGCTTTTGGAATTGCGACTCGGGCTGAGTCTGGTTCTCGTCGGCGGACATTGTGAAGGGGGTATAAGCACTGGGTTGGATTTACAGTGAAAGAGAAGTGCTGAAAGAATACAAAGATCAAAGGACCGTTTGCGCCAGAGAACACAGAAATGAAGGCGACAGGAAAATTTAAGCAGCAATGGCGGGAACGTTCCTTTGCATTCCACTATCGCCGTGGCGGGGCAAGTTTTTTTTGGAGGGGCACCCGAGTATTAGTCAGCCGGGGTTATTGGGCGCCAGAAATAGCATGATTTAAAAAGATATTATAGATGGATCCGCGATGGTTGCAATAATATCCTAGTATGCTTATTAATAGTATATATTGTGGTCATGTAGACATAGACATTTCCGTAGATATCTCCTGAATTCTATGCAGGACGTTGCACACATCACACCCAACCATCGGCTAAAAGCACTGTATGCTTCCGCCCAATAACCCTGCTGTAGTTAGCCAAGCCAACTTATGCGGACTGGGGAGACTTATAAGAAAAAAAATTGGGCCGTTCCCCCGAAGAGGAACGGCAGGTTCACCGACTGAAAACATCCCGGACTGTTCGGCTACTATACATCAGGCAGTAAATCCATCTCCCTTTCCTGTACGGAATCCCGAGTTCAATTGCAGTGCTACCGTGAACATCAATAGAGCGCCTTCTCTTCGTAGCTAGCTCAGCCCGATCCTGAAAGAAACACCAGCATCCAGGCAATATGGCATGGGAAACAACGCGAAATCAAGCAGACAAGCCTAAACTTTGATCCCCGTCAAGAGGTCCCGCAGAGAATTCCCTGTACGAATCCCAAAGCCCACAATGCTGGAAGATAATGCTTCGACCAAAAGCTGGTTCGATCCTGAGTGTCGCGACGGAAAGGAGAAGGGCTCGCTCGGTATGAAAGGCAGCGACTGCTGATCATCGGGCTGTTACTTGGAGCAGTGTAGCACAGAACCCTTGGCAAGTAGTTGAGCAGTTGAGGAATGCAATCGTCAAGTGAACGCGGTTATGGCACAGGTATGCCTCACAACCTCCCCAGGGAATCGACCCTTTACCTATCCAAGGCATCCCAGTCGAACCTTAGATCAAACGCACCATCTCCCTATATCTTTTAGGCATGTTTCCTGCGCATCAATTGACATTCCAGCGCCGCTTGATCTGACTTCTTGTGTGTGATACAGTACCCCCAGGGACAGGTTTTTGTTTCCTCCCCGCAGTACGAAACATTGGGGGGCATTCAAAGCGGACAAAGAACATCCCCAAAAGCCGCTTTCTTCTCCCCAAAGGGAGGGACCACGACCGAAACCGTGGTCTGTACCAGCGCCCATCATCTATTTGCAACCTACATTGCAAAGAGACGGTTAACACGGGCGATCAGGACCTTCTATAGAAGCGCAAATCAGTGGCTGGTGCCGCGATTTGGTGCCACCTAGCCTCCGAAGTGGACGAAGTACAGGAAGTTGCAAGGAAGAAAGCAGGTACAAGGGTCCCAGGCCCCTCGAGATTGGAAGCATGTACGGGACAGCACAGGGCCCAAGACCGTGGACGACCGACAATGCCTGCATATTGAGCATCACCATTACATGCCAAGTCTGATCTGGTGCCGGAATGTGACAACAAGCCAAAGGTCGGATGGCATTGCAAAGAAGGCAATGACCAAGCATGAATCATCCTGCCCGACAGTGAAAATGGACCTCGCTGCAATATAATCACTACGGACGTGCCTGGACACAACCGAGAGATTATATTGGTTCTGACGAGTGGATCCATTGACATATCGGGTTGATGACAGTGTGTGGGCAGTTTGTTGTATTCGAGATGATCAACTTGCACATGTAATGAATGATGCCCGCAGTATTGCCCTCAAAAGCACGGTATTACCACCCTTGGATTGCTCCCTAAGACAACTCCAAAACAGAGTTGCCCGACATGCTTCACCTGCTTTCTCTCCAACTCCAGTCTTCCAGGCATAGAGTGACAATCCGTAGTGATCAACATGTAGCGCCCAGCATTGACCAACCGACGCGTGCCCTTTTCAGGAGCTTGTAATAAACGCATGATAAGCCGTCTTTGATTGCCTCCGAGAAAGCTCTGGACATCGGATTCCTTTCATATCGTCGATCCCACCAGGGATCGAACCCACTAATCGGTACATCCGCCATGCAACCCCGTGAAACTGATACCACCGAATGGCATCGAACTGATTGGTGTCTATTAGGGTTTAGTTCCCAAGCTTTCTCTTACCGCCTGCTCCTAGCAGAACGCGAAAGACAAAACTTGAGAAGCCGTTGGAGGGTAAGATCTGTATAGACGCCCGTAGCGGGCGGAGAGGCGAGATCAAGCGGCACTCCGGAAAGAACAATGAAAACACGTCCACACATCTTCAAAGGTATAGGGTCCAATGGAGATTTGAGCTCCTAAGAATCAACTTTGACTGAGCGTCTCGAACAAGTAGAAATCAATAACTTCAGGGAGCTGGTTGAGCCAGCCAATGTCACAGCCGCTGTGTTTGGGGAAGTAAAAGGACGGGACTGAAATGATGCGCCTCGAGTCGAGCCTCCAACGGACGCGACGCGTTATCACGTGATTACCACCCGCCTGCAAAAGGACTGGAATGTCCTCGCACCCAGTTATCCATGTTTTGCATTCTCTAATTGCTTTACAGCTAATTGACTTTGGTGCTGTTCTGTATCGTTTTTGCTTGGGCATTACGCCTTTTACTAGTTGTCAATGTATATATCTGAGGCATCCTTAGTGCAGTGACTCCATGACGTCATTCAATACACCTAGAGTTAACTAACCACTAGACCCGATAGACCATAATCACCCCAATTCCGCTTTATACCTCATGCCCACAAAGGTTCACTATACTGTGGACTTTGGTAAATTCCACGAGTCGCCACTTGCTTTCACCTATTATTTTTGCAGCTTCTTCTCCCGCATTGCCGATTCAGCATGGCTGGATGGCCTTCCGATTGGCATCTTAGTTGCCTTTGGGCTCCAGGCATACTCGTTCCGGCCCGCTGCTGTGGTTGCTTGCGGAAGGGCTGGCTTACTTGACCTTTTAGTATTTTCCCAATGATTGAATGTGTGCGCCGATGTGCTACACGGTCTGAAATCGCGAATATCGGCACGGTCTTGATCGTGGCGAACACTAGGGACATTATCCAATAAGGTGTAGACGAATCCTCGCAGGACTGTCAATGTCGGGGTCGAAAATCATACCCCTTGTGGACCCGGAAGCCTTGAGCGGTATGAAGGCGAGAGCACACCATGCCGGGGTCGGTCCCATTTTCTGGCTTCTGATCTGTTAATGACGACATTAACAGCCATACGTCTGATCACGAAGTCCACATGGTCGCGGGCCATGCAGCAATAGTAGCATGGTCATCGATGAAAAGGTCATATGGCTGGATAGCATCTATTTCATTCTCTGACCTGCCCAGAAAATCCTGCATTGTCGGTTCTAAGAATGCCATCTCGGTAGTATAGCCCGTAGCTGGCACTATACTAATTGCATGAGGATCTGCGGCCGGGCCTCCAGCCGATAATGACGCGAGGGAGTGTCTTGGTGTTTGACTGCGACACTCATGGCTATCATTAACAATTCCAGAGTTGGTTGCCAAGGTTTTCTTGACACGCTTGAGGTTCTCGTAGAATTCAGCAGCAGCAAGATTGCCGTGTTCACTCATCCTATGCAGGATCTCAATGGCAGTATCTAACGACTCCAGATCTGCCGGGTTTCCAATCGTTGGCAAAAGACTTGAGATCACCAAGGCAATGCAAGAGGAAAAGAAATACTGGGCGTAGAAATAGCCGTACATAGGCAAAGAGCCATTAACCCACTCTTCTATGATGAGTGCATGGGAATGCCGTGCAGCATGTATGCAAGCTTCACTAAGAGTGATGACCGGCTGAGGAAGGTCTTCGCTATCATCACGGTTGCTGTGATGTAATAGAGCATGGAGTAGGATGGGTCGAGTAGCTAATATCACGCACTACGTACTGTTAACGCAAAGACCCAGCGTGGGTGAGAAGGAAACTGACCTGATTAAATTGTAGATGTAATGATACGATATGCTTTGGCGGGGGAGAGTCCTCCGAGCGCAACTTGATATGTTCTGGGAGCGATTTAAGCCAGTCTTGTAAAGCCAGCAAGAGCTGCTGCTCCCGCTGAAGAAATGACTCTGCATGCTGTTTGCGACAATATATCTTGTCAATGGTCTGACCAATGATCTGCGACAGACGAATACTGGCGACAGAGTAAGCTGTATCTGAAAACTGCTCCTCAGCAGCAGGGCTGGCAACGTCGGTAGGCATATCGACATGGATATCTTCATCGCGTATCTGTAGCGGGAAACCAAATTTTGACGTATACATGCGGTCGAAGACATAGATAGCCCACCACAGCCGAACGCGATGCTGACGTTCTATAGGATCAGTGCATTGTCGCTCAGGAATATTATGGTTGAGCCCGAGGATCAGACCCAGACGCATGGCGCTGCCGACTAACATATAAGCCGAGTGTCGTCTGTTTAGGAAGTACGAGTACAGCGACTGATTAATTCGTTTAGGTCTAGCTATGATATGCTGAAGAAGCAGTTGACTTACCAGTAGTAGCAAACTTTCCACATGGATGACACCTGGTCTCTCGGGCAGGATCGGAATTAGTCCCATTGCTCTTACATAGTACAACGTGCCTGGAACTCGGCCCGTTGGTGACGAGTTGGCCCGAGACGAATAGACCTCGCCCAAGGCGAAAAGGGCGAAGAATTTGCACATAACAGCCGGGTCGTCGCGTAGCGATGGAGTGCGGTAAATGGATTCGAGGTGTTCGATGGTCGACTTGCGTAGAAACAGATGGTAGACGCGACTCAACTGGTTGAAAGCAATACGAACCAGTAGACGAGCCTGTGCTAGACCGGGCCATTGGGTGGCACCCTCGAGTAAAGATGACTCGGGGGTGTATTGCGTTCGAGCAACATGCGCCGTATTAGGATCCCCCGTAAGGAACTGGCGCAAGCGCGTCGCGAACGCCGTGCATGCTGCATCACCCATGTATATAGGAGGAGCAGAAGGGTCATATGGGTAGAACCAAGCCCGTTCTCCGAGAAGAGGGTTTTGCACTGGCGGGTAGGACTCTTGTGGAATAGACCCCTCGGCAGTAGTGGCAGATGAGCTCTGAGGGGTACTAATGGAGCGTAGCTGTTCTCTTAATTGAGCGTTTTGGGTAAGAAGTTCGTCGAGATAACTGGTGTGCATCAGAATACAATACCGCTAAGCAATGGGTAGATGATGGAGGTTGCTTACCTCTCTTGCACCTTGAGCTTGCGATCACGTAGAGTGTACTGGCACTCATCATCACAACCAGCCCGCCGACATCTCGAACAAGGCTGTCCGCCAGAGCATTTAACTTTATGGGAGTGACAACGGTGGCAGCTGCAGGAAGGGAACTAGTTAGCGCAATTGCTAAGGAAGAAGCCCGAATGGCAACGCACGCTATAGGCTTCTTATTATCACGCTTGGGTTGTTGCTTAGTGACAGGCATCGGTGAATGATTTATTTCAGACTATTGGAATGACCTGCATGCGTTGATGTTGTCGGCAGTCTGATCCTTCGCCGAAAGGCAAGACGAAGTTCGCCTCTCTTATTCATCCTTCGGCAGTTTGGTCACATGCCGAGGTCTAACCTTAGCCAAGTATGACTTTCCACTAGTATCAGCCCCGCGGCGCCCATAAGCATAGAACAATAGAGGTGGGTGAAGGAAAAAAACAGTAATTGTTTGGGCTCTTTTTGAGTGATTAATGAAAATACCTCCGATATGTATCCTGATTGCCGATATCATACTGTTGTAAGTCTGTTGTCGCTGCTTCATCGAGTCACGCAGTTATAATCGGTTCCGTGACGACATGCCGACGGTTCTATGAACATATAACCGAACTATATAAATTACGCAGGGACAAGAATCCAGAGCTTCATCATAGCTTTTCGTGAGAAACTACTCCAGCAGCTCACTGTCTAAAAGAAGAAGCATACTATAAAACATTATATCTCGGTCCTACTCACAATGCTTATACAAAGACCATATTTGGATGTTCATTTCCAACTGCAGCCTGGCTCTGCCGATTTCAGTGTCGGAGATGACATTAAGGGAACAGCTTACATTATCCCACGGAAGAGTATCTCTCCACATCAGCTAAGCATCTACCTTGAAGGTATGATTTTATTCCTGTCTACAGTTGCAACTCGTAATGATTGTTTGTCAGGCAAAGTCAAAATACAGATTGACAGGACCGAAAACGCGGTGCCACTTCCACCGTACACAGCATGCCAGACTTTTCTTCGCATAGAACAGCCGCTCGAGCTCAAATCATCAACAGACTCGGAACTACTTCAAGGAGGTTTGAGGCACGAGATACCATTTGGGTTCAAGGTACCGCCAAGGATAAGAGGTTCGGTATGCCAGCAATTTTGTCACCATCAGCAGGTCCAGAAAGAGCATTCACTCCTTCCCCCGAGCATGGGGCAATGCGACATGACGCCCAGCGAGATATCGGTCGAATACAACATAAAGCTCAGCTTGACACGGGGCATCAACCGAGACGGGATGCCAGCAGTAGCTGAATGGGCATGTCCATTGTTTATTCGTTCGCCGCGCATAGAACAGGCACCCTTGCTGGTTCCGGAAGACAGCAAGCATTACTGCCTCAGTAAAGAGAAATTCGTATCCAAGTCACCGATATCTCTCTCTCGAATTGGAGCGCTGTTGGCGCGGACGGCACAGCCAGCTGCTATTCAACAAGCAAAAGCCATGGTCAGATACTTACCAGTCGACTTGCAGTTCCAAACAATATCCGAACCACATCTGCCACAGTTATCATCAATGTGTGTCTCATTGAATGCCATCACCACTTTCGGCGAAAGGGCAGAAATACATCTTCCAGAGGCTATAGGTTCCTCAGCTCGGGATCCTTATCGCCACTCTTATGTGCAAACAGTATCTCTAGGGAGTTCAACCCCGAGCCCGTTGGAGTGGGAAAAGCGCCATTTTACCGAGGATCCGGACTCATCCACGGCCAGCATCGCATCAGGAATAATCTACAGTACCTCAGTAAAAGTGCCAATCAAGCTCCCAGAGAGTCTGAGCTTGCCGCCTACGTTCAGTTACTGTCTTGTTTCCCGAATATACTCTTTGACGGTGACTCTCCGATTCCTCATACAAGGGCAATGGGGCCGAACGACTAGCCTTATATTGACAGTCCCACTTCAAATATGCTAGCTCATAGCTAAGTCTAGACCCATTGCTAGTTCTTGGCAAGTTAGAGGAGTGAAAAGGAGATATGCAGCTGAAATGGTACTTAAATACGTACTAGTGTGTGAGAACCATCTTTGCTAGACGGCTATATGACGGCTATTTATATAGTTGGGAGCTTGAAACAAAAAAACCTGCTAAAGTTGGCATCATGCCCTGGAGAATAACTGTGTGACTTGAATGTATCTAACTTGATATTATACAAGATTAAACATGTTTAAGAAGGCAAAAAATATATCGATCGTAGCGTTTCATTTATCGAATGTTCATGTCGCAACAACAGTACACTACTTATCCATTGTAGTAGCTAAATCGAAGTTGCCGCCCGGCCCATTACACGCTAGACCACATTCGAACTAGCCACAAATCATGTGATACGCAGCTTGCAGACATAATGTGATTAGGTAATCAATTCCAATCCATTCTCTGGACTCGATGGAAATAGGCGTAGAATTGTAAATGCGAGTATTAAGGTGAAGGAGAGCTCTCCATGATTGAAGGATGAGTGAATCAGTACGGGTAAAAGAGGCCTTTGCCGCCGTGAGTGTCTTTCTCGAATCTGTGCTTCAACGAGGTATGCAAAGCTCGATTCCAGAGCCGTCTGAATGTCAAAGCTAACCGAGAATTTAGATAGCGTTCAGAGCCAAAAGGTGCGGGGGCAGTCTCTAGTAGAAATCCTGAACGAGACACTTCGTGACGATGAGAAAAGTACTGGGTCTGTGAGGAGGGATGTCATCATCAAAGCTTTGAGCCTACTGTCTCTCATCCATACTGCTTTCGTCACTCCCTCCAGTGATGGCGATCGGCCCGGCCAGACCGGCCAGGAAACGGAAGATGTTGCCCTGGAAGATGCAAAGAGACGCAGGCTACTTCTCGCTCTATTGGATTTGATTGCTGTGGAAGGCATATACCCGTCACTTTCAAGAGGTCTTGGCCTACCTCTACACCAAAGGGTGTTCTCGGCTCTGCCTGCTGGGGTTATCGCTCAACAACAACAACATCATGCTCAGGAGAGTCCCGAAGACGAATATCTTCTCGAAAGGATATGGGTCACTCTTTCGAACATCATATTCGATGCAAAAATGAGCGTACAAGATGTCATCCGTGGCCGGATCCTTAGCGACATGATCAGTGCAGCTGCAGACCTGGCTTATAACTCAAAGACCCTCTCCGATGATAAGAAGGCTATCTACCGTCAGGAGGTGGGAAGACTGATTGAAGAGTATGTTTTTTTTCTATAAATGTTACAGCCACAGCTACTAACTTGCTGCAGGACTCCCAGCCCTGTGTTGCTACCAGCATTGTCCAGTTTCCTGCAGTCGGATCCTGCTCCGTGGTTCAAGTCTCTGGTCTCTAGCGAGCTGTCACGAATTCCATTACGCCCCGGTGGCGTACTTCAGACCATGGTCTTCCTGGCCTCTCAGTTTGCCCCGTTCCTGGGAGCCGAAGCTCAGGCCCAGGCATCGAATGGCCCAATTTTCACAGTACAGGGTATAATGCAAACGTCCCGCCTGCTGTCCTCAGTTCCAGAAGGAATGGACCCGGTCAACTACTTTTCAACAATAGCACCGCAGCTACTAGAGTTGATTGACGGGGATGACCTTGACCTAATGAAGACAGCAGCATACGTTATTGGAAACGGTATCTTGGGTAAAAGAGCCTATGGCGCTCCTGGGACCGTCGGGCACTCCATATTTTTGGAACCCATCTTTAAAGCGCTTACGGCGGGGCTTGATGCTTCCTCAAAGAAATGGATAGCTGCCGCTGATGAGTTTGACCGTGCATCATCCGAGCAGATTCAAGTAGCCGAGCCGACGGTAGTATTAGCAGTCGACAGATTGCGAACCTTAGTCCTCCAACCTCCAAATCCGGGTCTCGTGAAGCGAGTCGTTCACCCTATTCTAGTTCCACTATGGGGCCTAGCCTGCTATGCAATGGAACATCAAAATATGACACTGCATGAGAAAATCTTGACTATCCTGCAGACCTATTTCGGAATATCAGTTGGACTTCAACCATTACAGAAACTCGTCGACAACCTACTCTATGATGGTGGGGAAACGTGGACTTATGATTCAGACTCGAAGAACAAAATCTTACTGCGGAAGCGCAACACATCAGAAACGAATCGCAACATTGTCCGCCTCGTCGACATATTGCAGTCTCGCACGAAACTCTTCGTCAGCTTATTGGGCGCAGACCCCAGTAGCGAAGAGCGGACAGCTGACATCTTCCTCTACGTCAGTGAAAGCTGGCTGGTAAAACCTACCTTGGATGAGCGTTCGATGGATAATTTGCGACTATCCCCGGAGGAAGATAACTTCAAGAACATCATGCAGCAGTTGATCAGTGCCAAGGTAGCGGAAACGCTACTCGACAATTTTAAAGACGTCCTTTCCCGTCGACCTCTACGCGTGCTCGAACTTATCAAGCAGATAATCGACAGTGAACTGAACCGAGCATACGTGCGGAGCAAGAAGACCATGGGAGCACGGTCAGGCAAGGTATCCCTATCGTCACTGGCCAACATAGTCGAGCCAGACGAAACCGGAAAGGAAGAAGCAGCAGCAGACACAGACTCCGCCGAATCACTACCAGCCGTATTCAGCCTTCTATCTACTGTCCTCGCCTCACCAGATTTCACCATCTCACCTGAGACTCTCCCAGTGCTCGAAGCCATAAAGTCAAAGCTCGACGATCTAACGCCCCATCTCCCATCCGACCTCTCCAAACCAGCAACCACATCATCAATGCTCATTGAAATCCACCTCGCCAACCCCGAAGGCGAGACCCCCATAACAAACAAACCAAGCACCGAAATAGCCGACTTCGAAACCCACCGTCGCGCACTATCCAACCTAAACTCCGACCTCGCCCCAATCCAAGCAGAAGGCTTCTCCCTCCTCTCAAACCTCATCACCAAAGCCTCCCCTGTCCTCGACATCCCTTCCACCCTGACCCTCCTCCTCTCCATCATAACCGACACCTCCGAAACCCACAGCACAGACGAATTCATCTACCTAAACGCCATCAAACTTATCGGAACCCTCGCATCACGACACCCCCGCACCGTGATCAAAACCCTGGTAGACCGCTACATCGACAAAACCGAAACCCACACACTCGACCAAAGACTCAAGATCGGCGAATCCCTCCTCCGCACCGTCCAGGACCTCAACGACGCCCTAACAGGCGAAACAGCCAAACTCCTCGCCGAAGGCATGATTGCCGTCGCCGGCCGACGCGCCCAGAAACCCCAAGCCCAAAAGACGCGCAGACAGCAACTCGAGAAAGAGAAACGGAAAGCAGAACGCGAAGAAGCCCGCAAGAAAAAAGAATCGTCTATGCCCCCAGGATGGAGCATCTCCACATCTACATCCAAAATCCAAGAACTATCAGACCAAATACAGAAGGAAGTCGACGCCTCGGACTCCGAAGAAGACGAAGAGCAAGCCGCCCACTCCGCGAACATCATCTCCGCCTGGGCAGCAGGCGCAGCATCTGACTCCGAACCAGAGGATCTCCGCGTCCGCGCATCCGCATTATCCATTCTAGCTAGCGCCATTCAAACGAACATCCTCGGCCTCGGACCCTCGGTTATCTCCTCCGCCGTGGAATTAGCCCTCGCGACCCTGACATTAGAACCGGAGGTCGAGTCCGCTATCCTGCGACGCGCGAGCGCTATACTCCTACTTGATATCCTGAAGGCTATGGATACCGTTCGCGAGAATCGTGGAAGTCAGGCGCTGGGCTTCGGGTTCTCGCTTTCGGATGCGAAGGGTGTTGGAATGGAGGGGGGAGCAGCGACGGTAGGGAATATTCCGCACATGTTGTCTTCGCTGAGGTTCGTGGAGAGTCGGGAGACGGATTCGATTGTGAGGGGCCATGTAAGGGTGTTGGTCGAGAGTTTGGAGGCTTGGTTGGAGAAGTCGCTGTTGTGGGGGATTGGGGCGAGAGGGGAGGATGAGGAGCCGAGGTTGGAACTTGGGCATCGGATTGCTGGGTTGAGAGTGAGTCCTCTTGCTGGTAGGGATGGGGGTATGAGGCCGAGGATTGAGGAGATTGAGTAGTGAGATGTAGTTGGTTAGGTTTTTATGAACTTAGTTACAGTTATTCAGTCTTTACTTTACTGTCTACTACTGCGCGAAGATTATGCTTGATGCTTTGGTTTTTCATTTCCATTATCTGTACTGTGATCCAGTATGAAAATAGCTATTTCGTGAACGCGTCAAATGTACTGAGTAACTCCGAGGTCACCGTGATTTCAAGGCATAAATGACAGAAGATGAGGATCGACTTTCTTGCCATTCTCTGTGAGAGACCTTAGTGAGAAGGGTAGATCTGGTCTCCGTTTTCCATTAGAATGTCAGATAGAAGAGATTAGAAGTGTAGTTTGCAGCGAGAAATGAACTGAAGACAAATTCGATAGATATCATCGTAGCATAGCTGTTTCGATGAAAGAAATATGAGAAGAGGCAAGTGCCCAGCACTCCCTCATCCGCTGTACTTCCTTTGCGCCGTAAGCATTGCCGCAACGCAGCTGAAGAGCAACCGTGTCACAGATGGAGCCAGCCTTTGGTAAGCGAAGTGCAATCTGGGGAAGTGTAGAATTAGTAACGGTTGCCGCGTCCGCGACCTCCACGTCCGCGACCCCGTCCAAAGCCAAAGCCGCCTCGACGAGGCCCACGGCCCATACCACCTCTGTTACTACTAGGACGGGGCCCTCTGGCCATTCTAGCTTGGCGTTCGGCGTCGCTCATGTCAAATTTGTTTTCGATGCCGATCAATTCGCAGAACTCCGCGGTCTGAGGATTGGTGTACTCAATCGGCATCTCCTCAGTTGTCAGAGGTACACTGGGATCGTAGATGGGCGCGGTTTGAGTGAAGTTCTCAGGGACGACAAGCTTTCCAGGCTTCACGACGTTCTCCTCGACCCACTTTTCTTCTTCGAGGATCTGGGGAAGGTACACGACGTCGCCCTTATCCGCAGAGGGTCTGGCGTTGGGATCCCCAAGGTGGAGGTCGTTGGCGAACGCACGTGTGATTGCGAGCCATTCTTTGTCGTACTCCAAACGATATGGGCGTTCAACCTTCGCTCCATCTGAGTCCGAAATAGGATTTATCTCCAAGAGCTGGAGAAATTCGCGGTTAGGAAGACATTTGTCTAACGCGAGGAAATTGGTCACGTTGTTTGCAATGGCTTCGGGCAAAGGGCCGTTGACCGGATAGGGATCAGGCTGGGGTCGTGAAAAACTGGCAGGCAGCTGGTTCCTGACATCCTGCGAGACATCAGTCGCTTTAGCTGGCTCTGCTTGAGAGGTTATATTGTTTCGTTCCAACTGAGTCGGAGTGGACGTCATTGCGGGAGAGCCACTATTGCCTGAAACTGCCGTTTCAGGCTGTGCCTTACTTGAGGCATCGTCGGAGTCGCTGTCTAGATCTAAGTCGATCTCGTCACTATTCTTCACAACATCCGATCCATGATCAACCTTCTGTTTCTTGGGGTTCTGCTGTTCGGGACTGACATCCCTCTCGACGCTTGCAATTTTCCGATTTACGCCGTCCATATCAGTCTCCACCCTTTTCCAGGTCAGGTTGTGTTTGAATTCATAGGGGTTCGGCCCAGGATTCTGTGCCTTGCCCGACAAATAAAGCTCGTTCTCAGCCGCTTCGTTTCGGGCAGCAACGACGTGGAAGTTCTTCCACGCTGACAATTTAGTCTCCATGCTGCTAGCTGCTTCTCCAGCCGATACGTCGGTTTTGGATGGCTGATGGGCAAGTTGTCCACTCTCTGACTGCAACTGAGAGGCTCCGGTGCTTACAGCGTTGCTCTGACTCTGCTTATCAGAGTTGGCAGTAGAAGCGGAGGCCACAGGCTCATTCAATGGGTTCTGGTTCTCTTCACCGAGGACCAACGAAGTGAATACCGCACCATCCAGCGCAAATGGAGCGCTTGGACGCTGACCGGCATCAGTTGCACCAAAAGCAGCCTGTCTCTTGGCCGCGGGATGCTCAGGAACGACATATTCAGCGTGCTGCACTCGGGCCGCGAACTTAACATGTAAGTGGGCCGAAAACCAATAGGCTGGGCGCAGCCGATCAAGAACATGCTTGGCAGCCATACTACCAAGTCGGCCGTTTTGAGAATCCTCGCGGAACCCAATTTTTCTATTGAATAAGGTTTCAAAGTCTCCGCTACGCTCGACCGTCTTAGGCCAGTCGTGGGATAGTCCCAGATCAACCTGTGTGCGGATTTGCAGCAATTTGCGAACATCGAGTTCCCTCACGTGGTAGATGCTTTGAACGTCATCGCTGTTGTACGGCAGTCGTTCAAAATGAGGTCTCCGGTAGTCGTATCCCTTCCAGATGCCAGACATGCCGGCGATGCGAAGGGGCCCACACCGGATAACGTTGGCTGCACCGAGGTAGTAGATATTGGGGGCTACCCACCCGCCGTAATACAGCTCAAACAGGTGATTGCTCGCCTCATGGTTCCCTCCCACAAAAATGGTAAGGTATGGAGCAACACGCTGCCCACTGTAGTATTCATGAAAGTCACCCAACTCTCTGTATTTCATCGGCACTGACATGCAGGCCAGATCATTGGCATTTCTGACAGCCTAGTTTGAGGTTAGCAGGAGAGACAGGTGAGTTGACAGGGGCAAAAACAGTCTTACCTGGAAATCGCCGCCAATGATCAATAAATCGACACCATCCCACCCTTTTAGGGAGGCAGCCTTATCGACTGACGCATAGATATCATGAAGACATCCGTGGCCCTGGAAATGTATCGGTGGTCAGCAAGATAAAAAGTACAGGGTAGAAGATGAGAATTTGACTTACACATCCTTCAAACGCGACTCGAAGCGAGGCCGAGTCTGAAGTTGGCATCTCCATGATTCTGGGAAATGCTGCGAAAACCGAGCTAATAGGGACCGATCCGGCGACGAAGTATGAGCTGCTCGCAAACTTTGAGACGCAGAAGATACAAAGGACGATTAGGAACAACGTAGGAGACCTCCTATGCAAGAGTGGGGATTACTGGACGCCGAATATTAGATTCTGAGAGAGAGAATAGAAAGATGCTAGAGGTGAAGAAATGAGAAGAGAGGAACTGGGGGAGAAGAGAAAGATGAAAAGTAGAAGCAGAGTAACACCGGGAAGATGTGAGTTGATCGTGCGGCGGGAGAGTGTTTGGTTGCTTTGCTGCCGAACAGCCCTTTTTTTTTCTCTTCTCGGCATCAATTCATTTTCATGCTCTCCCGCCAGGTTTTGAGCAGGTTCGGTCTTCTTATATATTCACAACCGTTCTAGATACTTGAAATTGTTATCACTCAAACATGCCCCTTAGTGATCATGCGCCCCGGTTGGAGTTCCTCAAGGGCTCCGCTAGCGCTCTCAATGCTCTCAGTCCATCAACAGCGGCCTACTTGATGACCATTCACAACGGCATTCTCCGTGACGAATTCAAGCCATTAAACCAGCGGCTTCAAGAGACATCGTGCGGTGCATGTGGCAGTGTCAGAAGCCCGCAGTGGACCAAGAATATCGTCATCCAGAAGAAAAGTGGCAAGCAGTCGAACGCAGGCAGAGCGAGCAAGGCCAGCTCTGATGGAGCTACAATCTTGAAATGTCTCCGTTGCCGGCGACGGACCATCAAGCCAGTCCGCAAAGATGCAGCTCGTCCTGCACTACCACCAAAAGTTACTTCTACAGCGACATCTACACCTGACATTCAATCATCTGCAACTACAACGCCCCAGTCCGAACCAGCCATCGAATCAGCGGATTCGAGCCGGGTGAATAAAGCGGCCGACAATGCCAACAGCAAAAAGCGGGCCAAGGCTCGCAAGCAAGGTGGGCTGCAGGCCTTGATGGCATCCAAGCAACAATCCCGCAGCAATTCATCCTCACTTGATCTCTTTGACTTCCTTCAGTAGTGAAGGTGACCTGCCAAATAGTATCCAATTCCCTGCTGCTTTTGCTTTCACTGTCACGGACTGCCAAGACCGGAGTCTCGGCAGATTCCTCCGAGATGGATTGGGCCTAGCGCGGGGTCACGCTATCGGAGCTTCCCAAGAGCTGCGGCTGTTGATGTGGAGCTCGCTCGATTATCCCCCAAGCATCCTCTGCTGCTGTTGCTGTTGTTGCTGTTGCTACTGCTTCTTGGCTTGCGCTCTGTATTGCATTTAGTTTACTGCTAACTCCTTACCTCTTCGACACAATGTCGTCTTACGATGACGAGCACGATCCTCAGGCGGATGAACTCCGAGAAACCGCTCTGGTCACCCTGGAGACGTTGATTAGCTCTTGCAACTCTCAGATGCAGCCATACATGTCCAATACCATTAACTCAGCCCTTCGATTTCTCAAATACGATCCCAACGTTGCCGAAGCCGAAGACGATGAAGAAATGGGCGGCACTCAGGATGATGGCTCTGAAGATGACGTAACGGAGGAGCCCGATCTGGACGACGACGACGAGTTCGAGGATTTCGAGGAAGAAGGAGGCTACAGTGATATTGATGATATGAGCTGGAAGGTCCGCCGTTGTGCAGCGAAACTGCTCTATTCCGTCATTTCGAGTTACACCCGCGGCCGTACTGCAGACGATGCGTCCTTGTTTCAGCAAATCTCCCCCGCTCTTATCGCCCGGTTCAACAAAGAAAGGGAAGAAAGTGTCAAGCTCGAAGTCGTGTCTACCATGACTGCACTCGTTCGGAAAACCGGTGAAGGCGCCATGATAATCACGTCCAACGGGTTCCTTGAGTCAGTTGGGGGTTCGAAGAATTCGCGGAAGAGGAGACGCCAGGATAGTGATGCTAGTATGATCGACTTCGAGCCCAGCATTGGCACGTCCTCTGCTGTCAGTACCCCCGTTGTTGCTCCTTCCTCGCCCAATTCTGGTCCACAGGCGGAGCTGGCTCGCTCAGTGCCGATCATCGTGCAGAGTGTGGTCAAGATGTGGAAGCAAGCTTCTGTACCTCTGAAGCAGGCTATTATCGTGCTGCTCAAGAGCCTTGCACTCGTTCGCTACGGTGGACTTGCGGATCATCTCCAACAGCTGGAAGACCCCATAGCGGATGTCTTGAAGTCCTCTTCTCTCTCGGGCGGTTCATCTGCACCCGTCGGGTCTTCGGCGAGTGCAGGCACCCTCCAGACCGAAACCCTGGGACTCATTGCCGCGATTGCTGAAACGCATACGTCTGATGCACTGTTGCCCTTCCTTATCGCGTTGATTCCCGGCGTCATTGGGGCTGTCAATGACAGGAACTACAAGGTCAGCAGCGAAGCGTTGGGAGCCGTCGAACAAATTGTGAAGGCGCTTACGCCGCCGCGGGTTCCCAACGCCTCTCAGGACCTTGCATCGCACCTAGGGAGACTGTATGACGTCGTGCATACCCGCATCACTGATACGAGTGCCGACCTCGAAGTTCGCCAGAGAGCTATCCACGTGTTCGGCGTGCTGTTGGCTCGGACAGCTGGGGAGAAAGGTTCTTCTTTCCTTCCGCTCGATCAACGCTCCAAAGGTCTTTCTGTCTTGGTGGAGCGACTGAAGAACGAGACCACGCGGCTCGCAGCTGTCCGGGCCGTTGACGATGTCGCCGTCCTTTGCACTCGTGAGGTGGATGTCGCACCAACCTGGGTTAGTGAAGTCACTGCAGAGCTTGGCGCACAGCTGCGCAAGTCAGACCGCGTTCTTCGAGGTGCCAGCTTGGAGGCTCTTCGCAGCCTGGCTATGAACCCCAACACCAGAACTCATTACGATGATAAAACCATGAAAGAGCTTGAAGATAGTCTTCTACCGCTCATCAGCGCAGAAGATTTCCATTTCCTCGCACCGTCACTTATCATCCTGGCCAAGCTGGTTCCAGGCAATGCTCAGCTTCTTGTCAACGAGAGCTTGATCTCTGCGCTGTGTTCTGTTGTTCTGTCGTCACTCGTTGGAACGGTACTGAAAGCCCTGCTCCTCTTAGTCAAGGTCATTGGAGAAGAGGGAGCTGGTGCAGCATTGATGAAGAAGCTTCTTCAGGATGTTGGCATCAGCGGGGACACGTCAGTTGTCGGTAGAGCGATTGGAACTCTCTTGGTACACGGTGGTCCTAAGCTGGGTGTCAAGATGGAAGATTTCATGACGGAGCTAGAGACTGCGCAGGATGCTCAACGTAAATGCCTTGCGCTCGCGATCTTGGGAGAGATCGGCCTACGAATGGGCTCCAGCTGTTCGCTGACACCTGAGCTCTTCATCACCCACTTCAACTCCAAGTCCGACAAGGTCCGACTGGCTGCAGCCACAGCCCTGGGTAACGCAGCAGCAGGTAACGTCAAATCTTACTTGCCTATCATCCTGGGTGGGCTTGAGAAGGGCAACCCGCAGAGTTACCTGCTCCTCCACTCCGTGAGGGAACTGCTCCAGCACCCCGAGATTGTTCGGCCGGATGTAGCTCCCTCAGCTGTCAAGCTCTGGCAAGCCCTTCTGGTCGTGTCAGAGGAGGAAGACAACCGAGCCGTTGGTGCCGAATGTGTAGGCCGGCTCGCCCTGATCGATCCGGTCGCTTACATTCCTCATTTCCAGGTGAGTCCAACCGCCAGCAGTATGTAAATAGTCGCAACAGGTGCAGCTAACACAATGTAGGATTATCTCTCCAGCAGTGACCCTAGTATCCGCAGCGTCGTCATTTCCGCATTCCGCTACACCCTCTCGGATCCCAGAGACACGTACAACGATGTGCTGAGGCCCGTGATCGTACCCCTGCTGGTTAACATGCTGAGCGACCGCGACCTTGGCAATCACCGTCTTGCCCTGACGACCTTGAACTCAGCCATCCACAACAAGATGGAAATCCTTGTCCCTCACCTCAACGAACTCCTCCCGGCCGTTTTCGGCGACACCAAGGTGAAGCCAGAACTCATCCGCGAAGTGCAAATGGGACCGTTCAAGCACCGCGTCGACGACGGTCTCGAGCTCCGCAAGGTCAGTACACCTAACCCCCTTTCTCCCCACACAAACAATCAAAGACTAACCCAAACCTTCAGAGCGCCTACGAAACCCTCTACGCCTCCCTCGACTCCGCATTCTCCCTCAGCCACATGAGCGAATATTTCGACCGCATCCTCTCCGGCATCGACGACGAACAAGACATCCGCACAATCTGCAACCTAATGACCTCCAAGCTGATCCATCTCGCCCCCGAAGAGACGCAACGCCACCTCGACGCGCTCTCAGAACGCTACAACGCCATCCTCTCCTTCAAACCGAAGGATAACGCCGTGAAGCAAGAACTCGAAAAAGCGCAGGAGGCATCATTGGGCGTGCTGAAGATCAGTCGCGATCTAAGCAAGGCGTTCCCGAACGCCGAGGTGGCGGGTGATCATCACAAATGGAAGGCTTATATGGAGTTGATTCGCAAGACGTATGGAGCGCAGCTTAAGACCTTGGAGGCGGAGGCTTAGGTTTATGCTTAGGCTTGAATAGAAGGAAGTATGTCTTTCCTACTACTTTAGCTATCGGTGGCTTCAGTTGGCGGTCGATTAGACGGTCTATTTATCTATTTAGCCTAACTTTTACATACGGGGGGGAAGGGGACGAGCGTGAGATCGAAAAGCGAATGTATCCTGCTGCCGTATAGTAGTGATTGACGTCAATGAATGATGAACGATGATTCATGCCTTCAGTTTAGTGCATTGGCTTTATGTAGTTACTGTAACAAACTAGGATGTAGGTTATAAAGAAGAAACAGCATCAATGCATTATGACGATGAATGTGCACTGGATATGGTATTGGGGGGGGGAATAGTCCGCTTGAAGTAGAATACAGAAACAGCAGTGTGATGAGTTTCCAGAACTCCTGGTATGCAGCCAGCCCCCTTCACGTAGCCGTTAAAACGCCAATCAACAAACAGCCAACCAACCATCCGCCATGAAGAAGCAAGAAACAAAATAACAACAAAGCAAGACAGTGATCCAACCCAATGATATCAAAACTCCGTGCAGCTGCACCCCAGGATATCATGAATCATGCAATGCTAAATAAAAAAACAGGCAATTTATGCAGTAATGGCTTTCTTCTTGAGCACACCGAGCTTTTCGAGCTTTGCCCAGGCCTGGTCCATGTCGGAGCCTTCGTCCACAGAAGGTCTCAGCTCCAAGCCGTCCAGAAGGCGAATCGAACCCCCAGTTCCGGCGTATAGCATAAGCTCGAAGACTCGTCTACGGAGTCGCGTTGGCTCATCCAAGTGGGATAAGTATCTTTGATCAGCCAAAGGATCGGCGAGCGGAAGAGTGTAGGGATCATCGATCTCAATCTCCTTGGCAGGGTTTGGCAATTCTTCCTCGCCTAGAGTAGCTGGGTGCGTGACGTCTCCACTGTGTCCAAATTCAGCCAGGGCAGAGGGAAGGTCCAAGCCGTCATGGCGTCGTTGGCCAAGCTCCTCCTTCGCCTTCAGCTTCTTCACATTCGCTTTGCCGTTGCCAATAACAGCAGGGGGATAAAACCGGACGGTGAGGGGGTTGCCACGGATGTCGACCTTCTGCAGAGAGCGAGCCCTTCCTTTACTGGTCCTTCCAATATGGCTCAGTACTTGACAAAGACGCCGCAGTCGTGTGATGTTGTTTCCTGCAGCTGCTAACCGAGCAAGGCACTTCAGGCCCGATAGTTCATTGAGACCTGTCAGAGAGTTGAAGTTGAGATTGAGGACCACCACATTGGGAAAGCTCGAAGCAAAGTCCACAGGAAGCCCCTGGATGCTACAGGAGGCTATGTCCAGTAGCTGCAAGCTTAGAAGGGGCGAGGAAGGCGAAAGGCTCTGCATAGAAAGTCTATTTGACGAAAGGAACGCCTTCCGAAGATCTTTTACCAGACCCAAATCGATGTCGAAAGTGCCACCATCAACGTCTCCAGTCATCTGTTCTCTAGCAGAGAGGACCTCCAAGGAATGGCATTTATCGAGACCAGAGACGCTGCGCAAGAAGTTCTGGTCCACATAAAGCAAGTGTAAGGATGGGAAAGCCCCGACGTCGAGTGTGCGCAGGATGTTATTGGAGAGCTTCAACGATTGGAGACTAGGTAAAGAGGCTGTGGTTTCAAGTCCATCGAGCTGATTGAAGCGAAGGTCAAGGGCAGACAAGGAGGGAAGTGAGTCAATGTTGCGAATGGACGAAAGTTGGTTATGGCTAAGATCGAGATCATGCAAGCGAGTCCTGATTAGATGAAGAGGCGACCGTTAGATATGAATCAGGGAACGGGAGCGGGGTGTACTCACAACTCTGCTCGGCCAAAGTC